CAGATGTCTCTGCTCTTCCAGCCCGAAAATGCACTTCAATTTTGTCTCAACTCCACGTCGTTTCTCCCGTTTAAATCACCCTCCCCTGCAGTCAAATCCTGAAGGCGCTGAGTCACTGCCATCGCAACGGCATCCTTCATCGCGATATCAAGCCAGAGAATATCTTATTAGCGAACCCGGTAACGGTACAAGACGGGCAGGTCGCAATCATTGACGCAGCTGTACCCGCTACAGGAGCAGCGGCGAAAACGGGAGAAGAATCGGTTTCTACAGTACCAGCAGCTGATTCTTACGCGGAAGATGAGATTATGCAAGATGTGACTGTAAGCGGCGGGCCTGTCAGTAGCACTGTAGCGTGTGCAGGTGGCGGGTTCGGTGACTCGCCCAGCCCATCTACAAGCACATTCAGTACGAGTGTAATGAGCAGTACACCCAGTAGCATGTTAATGTCATCTGGTAGCGCCAGCACTGCCAGCAGCAGCTTTGGGGCTAGGGGGGGGATGCTGTCGGAAGGGGGGCGCGGAGCAGGGGAGGGGGACGGGGAAGAGGACGGGGAGAGGGCGGAAGGCGCGGGGAGCACCCTGCATGTCAAGCTTGCGGATTTCGGGCTGTCTGTTATGCTTAAAACAGGGCAGCTTGCAGTGGGTATGCATGGGAGCAACGTGTACATGGCTCCAGAAGTGGTGTGCAGGAAACCGTACGGTTTAGCTATTGATTTATGGGGTCTTGGAGTTATCCTCTTTACAGCACTCTCCGGTTACATGCCCTTTTGGGGTAACACGGATGAAGAGCTTTTTGTCCGTATCCTGCGCGGCCGCCCGGATTATGCCAGCGATCCGTGGCCGTCGATCAGCGCAGAGGCGAAGGATCTGGTCCATCGGTTGCTCACAATAGATCCGCCGCGCCGGATCAATGCTGACGTGGCGCTGCAGCATCCGTGGATCTTGAAGCATTGCGGTGCATCTGCACCGTCCATTCCAGCATCTCTCGGCGAGCCTGCTGGCGTCAATCCCAAGGCATCTTCTCACTCAGCTCTTGCTGCTGGGAACAACTGTACCTCTATGGATGTCCCATCATCTGGGGATTCTGCTTCGATTGCAGCTTCGTCTCCTGCTCATTCTGCTGCTGCTGGTATTTCCGTGTCAGTGGCTGCTGCTCCTGCTGCTGCCTCTGCTGCTGCCGCTCCTGCTGGTGCTGCTGGAGCTGCTGCTGGTGTTGCTGATCTTTCAGCAGCAGCTGCTCCTGCCTCTCGCAGAGCACCATCACCCATTCGCCGCCAGCCCTCACCCATCCGTCGACCGCCTTCACCTGCCAAGCGACCAGCCTCCCCAGCCAGGCGTGGCACCGCTACTGCTGCACCTGCTGCTGCTGCTGCTGCCGCCACAGGTGCTACTAGTGCCAGAGCGACTGCTGCTCCTGCTGCTCCTGCTGCTGCTCCTGCTGCTTCCAGGGCAGCTGCTGCTACTGCTGTGAAGGACGCAGCTGCTGCGAAGTCATCTGCAGTGTCACCGCGCTACCCCTCAAAGACACGCCCTGCAACGACCCAGGTAGCCGCTGCCAGAGCTTCAGCTGCTGCTGCTGCCCGCGCTGCTGCAAGAGGTGCCGCTGCTGCTGCTCCCGCACCCGCCACTGCTGCTGCTGCACCCGCCACTGCTGCTGCTGCACCCGCTGCTGCTGCCGCTGCTGCCGCTGTGCGTTCAATGAAGGCGCCTGGTGCGCCCACCACACCGCTGCTGCCCAGCCGCACACGGGCAAACGTGCCGGCTGATAATAACGGGGCTGCTCGTGGTGCAGCTGCTGGTGGTGCCTGTAGAAAAGGAGTTGGTTCCAATGATGTGCGGATGCAGTCGGACACCAAGGATCACAAGCAGCAGGAGCAGCAGGAGCAGCAACAGCAGCAGCAGAGGCGGAAGCACGAGTCAAAGCCTTCCCCCGCACATTCTCCCACCATCTCCTCCGTTTCCTCCGCTGCCTCCTGCCCCACGCCCTTCACTCTCCCCCACTCCGCCGCCCTGCCCACTCCCCATTCCCATCATCCCGCTGCTCCTCTGCCTGCCACTGCTACTGGTGTTTCTCTGGGCGTACCTGTGGGTGCCGTCTCGTTTCCATCACCCATCGCTGCTGTGACCCATTCAGAGGGCATTACTAGTGTTGCTCACCCAGCAGTCTTCACTGCTATGCCTCACCCACCAGTCACAGCCTTCAATGCTACTTCCCTCCCAGTTGCCATCACCGTCCGCCCTTCATTTGTCAAGCCCATGCCTCCGCCTTCCCAGCTCGCTTCGACCGCTCCTCCTCCAGCAGCTTCAGCCGCTGCTCACATTTCTGCTTTGGCAGCAGCTTCGGCGACAGGTTCGGAACCAGCTTCGGCAGGTGCGTCAGCCTTGGCAGCGTTCGTGCCTGCGGTGGTCGGTGGTAGCGCGGGGGTCACAGACGCTGTTGCGGCTTCGGCAGCTGTCTCTGCAGAGCAACCGGCTGCCATGTCTGTTGATCATCCGTTTTCCGTCCCCTTGCCAGCAGCAGCTCCAATCTCTCATACGCCCACCCCACCTGCGCCTACTGCACCTGCTCCTACCCCACATGCACCTACCCCACATGAGCCTACCCCACATGTGCTTACCTCACATGCACCTACCCCACATGATTCCACCTCCACCGGTCCTACTTCTGGGGCTGAAGCCGCTATCGAGCCTCTGAAGCGGGCCTGTAGAGCGCACAAGGGCCGCACGGGGGTGTTACGAGTGTCATCTGGCAGGAGAAGGGACGGTGCCCATGCTTCAGCTGCCCCGGCCCCCTCTGCTCCTGCTCCTAGTACCGCCGTCACTGGTGCTGCTGCTGCTGCTGGTGCTGCATGTGCTGCTGCTGGTGCCTCTGGCGGTGCTGGTGGCAGTGGTGGGTCCTTCGGTTCTGCCAGTGGTGCTATGGCTAGTGCCACAAGCAAGCTCGCTTCTCTCTTCTCCCTGGGTGCTGCTCCGGCAGCCAAGGCTCGGAAGAATGCTGCCGGAGCTGGCGTGTCAGGTTCGGGAGTGCCAGGTTCGGGAACGTCTGCGTTGTTCCGAGCCAGGCCGTCGGGCCTAAGCAGCCCGTTCACGTTCTTCTCTCCCAAGAGGAAGATCCGAAAGTCGCAAGTGGTTGTGAACAGTGCCGCGGCTGCGGGGAAAGCAGTGGCGGCGGGCGGTGTAAGTGGGAGAACAGATATGGCCGTGGATGGGACTGGTGGGCAGGAGGAGGAAGAGGAGGATGAGGAGGAGGAAGAGGAGGAGGTGGAGGAGGGAGAGGGTGAGGGAGAGCAGGAGCAGCAGAAGGGTGAGCTGGGAAGCAGAGCAGGTTTGGCTGGGTACAATAGTGCAGTGCTGAGTGCAGCAGCTGCTGCTGTGCTGCATACTCATTTGAATGGCCAGGATGAAAAGCAGCAGCAGGAGAATCACCAATCGCACCCTCACCAGCCGTGGCAGAGGAACGGGATGATCGGCAGCCTCGGCAGCACCGGAGCTGCGAGCAGCGTTGGCACCATAGCAGAGTTCCGGGCTCGGCTGTCCCCGGCAGTCACTCTTGACAGAACCGCCGCTCCCGAGCCTGTGGCGGTGTATTCAAGCACAGGAGGCGTGCTGCCAGCTGTCAGCGCAGCATTGGGTGGAGGGCATGCAGGAGAGAATGTGATGGGGAGAGGAGGGATGGAAGTGGATGGAGGGACATGCGAGGGGGGCATGTCAGATGTTGTGTCGGCCTTTTCGATTCTCCGGACTAACTCTATACATGGAGCTTCTGCTGCACTATCAGCAGAAGCACCGCAAGCAGGAAGAGAGGCCACTGGTGTAGCCACAGCTAGTCGCAAGCCAAAGGCGCTTGCAGGTTCGCATCTCGCGGGGGCTGCAAGAGATACCAGGAGTTTGCTTGGGAGCCATAGTGCGTCAGGGAGGTTCAAGCATCTCTTCTCAGGACGCTAAAAGGCTGAAGTTACGCATGTGTATGAATATTTACTGTGTTTATTTTTTATTAAATAAGCTTGAGCCACTGTTCTTAGCATCATTGTAATGACTAGTGAATGAAAGAGTGCGCAAAAGTCAATTAGAGGCTGTGATTACCACAACTACTGAAAATACAGTGAAGCATAGCAAAGGTATACCGGGGGACCTAGCTAGGCATCGACCTCGGAAGGCAAGGTTGGGTGCTGGTCTGGGGCTGCGAAGTCTGAAGGCGACGCGGGTCAAGATAGGAAGGCGAGGTAGTCAGACCTAGCCTGGTATTCCGAATAGTTGGAGCCATACGCGTGGTAGTGTGACAGTAAGGAAAAGGGAAGAATCCTTGCAAGGATAAATAACTAAGATGGTGAAGTCATAAAAGAGAACATTACTAGTTACATACTGTTATTGTGAAACCATGCTCTCGCAGACATCCAACTTTTCGTTTTCTTGCATTCTCGCGAAAAGAATTCGCAGGGGGCCACGTCCCCAAGTTTCGAGTCCCTGCCACATCCAATCCAGGTTGCAACAGCACCTGGACACCCTGCCATGTCAGCAATCCACCCTTCTCCATCCAGCCTTCGATCCTCCCCAAACCCAACCCAATCTCTGTCCCCCTGCACTGCGCGTTCCCAGATTCCCCCCATTCCCCCAAAAGTACTTCGTCCCCGCGCATGCGCATCCATCCCTCCTCTGCTCTTCCTGCGCTCATCCCCTTCCAACCCACCCCCTCCTCCCCCCATCCCCCCTCCCCCCAAGCCCCTCCCCCCGCCACCCTTCACTCATCCGCACCCCTCCGCCTTCTTCTCGTTCCGCCTTTTCCATCGCACGCCCTGTCTTTCACCCCTCTCCCTCCTCCTGGTCCCTGGCCAGGGTGTTTCACTGCTCATTCTCTAAAAGTCTCCGCATTTGGTAGTTAATTGCTGTCCTTGGAAACGAGGTAGTAGCGGTCGTTTAGACCAGCGCGAGAGAGAGAGAGCGAAGCGCAGCTTGAAACCCACTCTGCCTTAAACCATGGCCGCCATCGAAGCCACCCCCATGCTCCAGTCTCTCCGCCTCGACGCCGCACTCGCGGTGCCGTCGCGCGCGGCCGTCCCCGCCTCCTCCTTCGTCCGGCCGCAAATTAGCCTCCGGTCGAGCCGCGTCCTTAGCGGGCGGCGAGTGGCGGAGCGGTCCGCCGTAACTGCGCGCGTGCAGGCGGTGGCGGAGCTGTTTCCGTCCGTGGAGGGCGCGGAGGACGCGGGGGAAGCGGAGGAGGTCGACGCGCCTGCAGTGAAGGCGAAGACGGGGAAGAAGGCGCTTGTGTTCAAGAGGGACCAGGTGCGAGACGGAATCGATCCAGCGTTTAGGGTTTCGTGTAGCTACCCGATGAAATCTAGGGTTAGCCAGATTGCTGTGCCCCTTTAGGGAGGGTCAGAACGGGGAAGAGTTCGCCTGGGTTTCAGAAGATCGTTTGTTCAGAGTGGCACAGGGTTCGTGAGGGATGGGGAGCAAGACGAAGCATATCCACTGTTCGAGTATCGCGCGGCTTAGCAATGATGTTGGTCAGGGTTCCAACCTGACTGTGCAGTGATAGTCGGAATGTGCTGCATTGTGCTGCGCAGGCCAGCAGTTTCCGAGGGCCAGATGCGCGGCAGAGCAAGTTTAGGGTTTCTTTATCGACCGACGACGTTCAGGTTTAGCATGAACGTAGTGTACAATGAGTCCATGGCAGTACCTTTCTCTACCATGCACAGCTCCGGCGCAGCATAAGAAGGACCGCCGCACAGGAGGAACAGGAGCGAGGGTTTCTTGAAACAAATGCAGGCTTTCGCAGCTGACCTTCCCCGAGTCTCTAGTTTCAGGCCCAATGTAGCGCCTCGAGTACGTCTCCAGCCGAACGAAAGGTTGTTCTGAGTAGCGGTCTTTTTGGTCCAGTTTGGGAGGTTAAATCTAAGAAGCTTCTCATTTGGAGCGTCAATGCGTTACTTTCTCCGAACGTGCGTGGAAGTTTCTGTAGCGAGGTAACAGATCGGACTGTTGGTTGGTTCTCTATATAGCCTCCGTGATATCGACGCGAGGAAGGCTAAATTCCTCGCTGTAATTTCTTGACAACTCAAATGAATTTGTCGGAGTGCTTCGGCGCAACGAAGCTGTGAGCCTGGTATGGCTTCAGGAGCAGCCGCGTTATGTGTATTCACGCCCTCGGTCTCTCTCTCCGCGCTCACTTCCTGGTCAACTTCCCATCCAAGTGGTTCCTGGAGGTTCAGAAGCTGCGCGACCGCAACAGCGAGTATGAGGCGGTGCGCTCCGGCCCTTCGGCTCGCGCTGCTCCCGGTTTTAGGATTTCCAACCGTTTTGCCCTTCTTCCCCCTCCCCACCCCAGACCCGATCGAAGCGGTTCCTGGAGATTCAGAAGCTGCGCGGCCGCAACAGCGAGTACGAGCCTAGGTACCACCGTGCGGCGAGACGGAGGCTTGAGTGTATTCCCATCGCACTCTCCTTCTCTCTCTGCTTCACTCACAATCCCCGCGGCAGACCCGGTCGAAGCGCTTCTTGGAGATTCAGAAGCTGCGCGACCGCAACGGCGAGTACGCGCCGGTGGAGGCGCTGGAAATCGTCAAGGCGACGGCTTCCGTCAAGTTTGACGAGTCCGTCGAGGCGCACTTCCGCCTCAGCATCGACCCGAAGTACGCCGACCAGCAGCTGCGCGCCACGGTGCGTAACGAGGGTACATGTAGCGGGGATGTTGTTAGCGGGGATGTTGTCCGAATGAATTAGTCGAAGGAAGGCGCACTGTAGGCGAATCATTGATTGGAAACACGCCGAACAGCAGCTGCTCGCCGCGGTGCCTAATGATGGAATGCTCTTAGCGGGGATATTGTAGTCAGAGATGCGGGAAGAATGGTTTCGGTTCGGGTTCGAAGCTAGAGGACCCTTGAATCTGTCTAGGAGGCTCGCGTTCGGCTCAACAATGGTCCCTGCGCGCCACTGCGGGCAAAAAAGTTGCTGTTAACGGGATGCTGTTAGCGGGGATGCTGTTAGCGGGGATGATAATCTGCAGCTCGTGTAAGCCTCGGGGCGGACGAATCACTCTATAATGACTACTGCTTTCAAAAATACCCTCAATACACGTGGACGAATCACTCTATAATGACTACTGCCCACGCGAAGCGGCTCTGGATGGTGACGGTGTTTCATGTTGCTGCTGCGTATCTCCCTCGCGCCATTTCGTTTTCAACGAGATTCGTGTTATCTTCCCCCTTCCCCCCGGCCCCCCTCCTTCGACTCCCACCACGTATTTCCCCCTTCCCAAGGGAACCAGCCAGGCGCTTCATGTTGCAGGGCTCCTCCCTCTCCTTACCTCGCCTCCGTCCCTTCCGTCTCTTCCTTTCCCTCTCCTCGCCCTTGTCATCCCCCACCACCAGGTGTCTCTGCCCAAGGGAACCGGTCAGGTGGTTCGGGTTGCTGTGCTCACCCAAGGTATGTCTCTGTTTCATCTTTACTTGGATATTTCCGTACCGTTACTTCACTCGTTTTCCTTACCCCGTTTCCCCTGTTGGTTCATTGTCACGGTAACAAGCCTCTGGAATTGAACAACTGCACCTCGTTACACGTTTTTTTTTTTTTTTTTTTTTTTGTTTTTTTTTCATAAAGTTACTTAAGAAACATCTACAGTTGCTGATGCGCCTCAAGAGATACATCGCTTGAAGGGAGACTTTTGAGTCGACTCAATAGCCAGCTCGAAGGGAGAGTTGCATTTTCTAAATTTCTTACTCTCAGACCCCTCTTCCTTCTCCTCTCAATCCATGTCTCCTCCCCCACCGGGCCACCCCTGGCCCTAATCATCCATAATCTCCCGTCCCCCGTCGCCGCCCCCCCACTGCTGCCCCCCATCCCCGCCCCGATCCCTCACCATATATTCATTCCTAACCCCTGTTCCCCCCCCTCCCTCTCCCCGATTTCCTCCTGTCCTCATTCCCGCCCCTCAATGCCTGTCCCCCCATGCGCGCAGGAGAGAAGCAGAGGGAGGCGACGGAGGCGGGTGCTGACGTGGTGGGCGCGGAGGATCTGATTGAGCGCATTGCGGGCGGCTTCCTCGAGTTTGACAAGCTGGTTGCCACGCCTGACATGATGCCCAAGGTGCGATGCGTTGCTTGCTCCTAGCTGCTGCCGGGTTGTAGCTGGGGCAAGGTTGGATCAGCAGGGCGGACGTGGTTGCGGGCGGCTTTCTCGAGTTTGACAAGCTCGTCGCCACTCCCGACATGATGCCCAAAGTGCGTTGCGCTGCTTGCTCCTCGGTCCGTTCTCTAGACCGTAGACCCCAACCTCTCCGCTGTCATTCTCTTTGCTCTCCCTCACACCATTCTATTCTCCTTCCCCCGCCCTCACCCTCCCACACCCTCACCCCTCATCCGCATCACTCTCTCTTGCAGCCCTTCCCTCACACCCTGCCGGCTCGTCTGGCTGGTCGGCTGGGCCCCCCGAGGCTTCGTGCCCACCCCCCAGGCTCAAGCCCTATGCATGCTTAGAACCTGTCTCACACACTTATCCCCGCTCTACCACTCCCTCTCCCCTACTCCCACTCCCCCCACTCGCTCTCCCCAAATCGCCTTTGCCCACTCCTCCCCGACGCCCTTCTCCTGTACTCTCGGGTCACTCCTGCTGGCAGGTGGCACGTCTGTGGTCCACCTGGCCTCATACCCAACCCCCATGGCCCAAGTATTAGACATGCTTCGGACCTATTTCACACCTGTATTCCCACTCTCCCTTCTCTTCGCTCCCCTCTCCTGTTGCTCTTGTCTCTCGCCCCGCGCAGGTGGCGCGTCTGGGTCGTCTGCTGGGTCCACGTGGCCTCATGGCCAACCCCAAGGCCCAAGCCTACGGCATTTTTCGAGCCTGTCTTACACGCTTGTCCCGTTTCTCCCCTCTGCCCCTACGCCTTCTTCCCTCTCGTTCAGGTGGCGCGTCTGGGTCGTCTGCTGGGTCCACGTGGCCTCATGCCCAACCCCAAGGCCGGCACCGTCACCACCGACCTTGCTTCGGTACGTGCCCCCACGTCCCGCTTGCGTTCTGTTTGGTTTCATGGCGTACTTGTGTGCGTGTGTGGGGGTGGGGGGCGGGGGTCTGGGTGTGTGTGTGTGCGTGCGCGTGTTGCAATTTCACCTTTCCTGCTGTTGCCGTTGATGTCTCGAAAGTGTCCCACCGCAAAAGTGTCGCTCTGACCACATGTTTTCATGCACCTTCCCGCAGCCTCTTTCTCCCAATAGTTGATGACTCAGATGCGTGTACACTGCATGCACCTTCCCACCTACCTGTTTCCCTCACCTGCTTCCCTTACCCTCAGTTCTAACCCCTCCGTTTCTACCCCATAACCTCTGTCCAGTGCTCCCTCTCTCCCTACAGGAATTAGTGAATATATATTTTTAAGCGGGGAAGGCACAGTAGCGTGGCAACATTCCTTCGCTCGCTTGCATCCCGCACGAAACCCTCCACTTTCCCCCCATCCATTTGTCCATGACTCCCAGCAGGGACACCCATTCACTCACATGTGTCTGGCTCTCCCCCCCCTTCCCTCCACCCCCCCCCCCCCCCCCCCCACCCCCCACACACAATGACCCTAAACCCAAGGTGGCGTAGCGTGCCGACATCCATCCACTCTCTTACGTCCTGCATGGCACCCGTGTGTTCCCCCCTCCCTCTTCTCTCCCACAATGCCCCCCCGGCCTGCTCTCCCCCCCTTGACAGGCGGTGGTGGACTTCAAGGCGGGCAAGGTGGAGTACCGGGCGGACAAGACGGGCATCGTGCACGTGCTCTTCGGCAAGGCCTCCTTCTCCAACGACGACCTCCTCACCAACCTCGTTGCCGTCGCTGTAAGTGTATTAATAAAATATTGTGTAGTGTATTTATATTCATGTGATGTATGGTGTGTGGCAATGGTTGTCTGTTGGTGTCGTGACTGATATTTTGCTTGCGTGTTTGTGCGATGTGTTGTTGAATTACAGAACTCTGTGGATGCGAATCGCCCACCAGGCGCCAAGGGAGTGTACTGGAAGACAGCATACATCTGCGCTACAATGGGCCCGTCTGTTCGTGTAAATGTGTCTGCCTTGAGGGACTTCAAGCTGCCCACTGCCTCATCGTAAGGGAATGTGTCAAATTTTCGCCTTATCCACACTTATAAAATGCAGTGCCAAATGAATGAGATTTTTATAAGATGATTCTGTGCCAAATTCTCTAGGTTTCATATTAGTGCTTTCGTAAATGACCAGTCATATTAACCAATCACAAAAGCTGGCGCGCTGTACCTACACCTTATTCGTTCTTCTCCCGAGTTCACCAATCACAAAATCCACAGTGGCTGAGTCAGCCCGATTTCAGAAGCCAATAAGGAAGCTCAAGGCATCGCTGTCTCGTTCGCTCTCTGCGGCCCTCGCTTCGTTTCGGCCTGGTTCGGTAAGTCGCGCTGCGGTTTGGGTAACTTCTCATCTCAGTTTCAAGCTGGGGCAGGTGTGTACTATGGTCTTTCAGGATATTCGCTGCCCGTCAAAGTGTCGGTCATCGGTTTTCCTTGTGACTTGTGAGGTGAGTGTTCGTGGGCAGAAATTTGATTGGGGCAAAGCCAATGGCGAAGCACAAAAGTGTGTGTCAGGCTCGGGATTTCGGGGGAAAAGGCCCGGTCTGCACAAACGAGCGGGTTAGGTTAGGGAAAGCGCGACATTTGTGGGATGTGATTGATGGGGGGAGGTTGGGCTGTTTCTCGCTGCAGTTGTGTGTGCCGTGCCACGAAACTGTTCGTATTTTCGCGTGGAGCTACTGTCACCGAGAGCTACCGCACACAACCCACCTCGGGATTGCTGTTGGAGGTGATCAATTATGCTTCCACCGTTACTGCTGTTGATGTTTTATTTTGCAGACGCATACGAGTAGGAGACGCGAAGTAGCCGTGCCGCGTTAGCTTCTGTTGTTATGAGCTTGCGGATCTAAGTCGTTCAAGTTTCGGGTGCTACTGTTAGTATCTCCGTGAGTTTGACCTCTTCGTTCAACATTAATCCACGAACAGAGACCTTCGGCCACCTACCCATTCCTCGTTGTCCGTTCCGTGCCATCGGCATCCAGCTTTCTGGCATTCGATGCCAAGTAGCGTCAGTGTTTTGCTAGTTTCTTGCCGGATAGGTTGACTCGCGAAGTTCGTAACCTCTGCACTTGACCCTGCGTCACCGTCGTTAGCAGGATCGGATTGGATTGGTATGATAGGTTAGTCCACGCAATTCCTCCGCAGTTCCTCCGCTTAGATCGTCCCTCAGTGCGTTGCCGGCTTGAAACCCTCGCTTCGTCTCCCCGGCAGCGGCTCGTTCATGGCACCTACCTCCAAGCCTCGTCTCTATTGTCCTTGAGTTTTGATTTCGAGCAGCCGCCGCTCGAGCCCATTCACCATGGTAAGCTGCTGTGTGTTCTGTCTTCTTTCACGTTATTGTGCCGTCAAGGTTGCGCTGTCAAGTTATTGGCTCGTCAAGTCCTTGTGCTATCAGTTTCTGTTGTCAAATCGTGCTCGAAAGAACGAATTTGCTGATAAGAACAACCTCTTGCTCTTTCGGTGCACGCACGAACTCGAATATGAACACGCAGTCGCCAAACCATGGTCGCAATTCTACTGCGTGCCTGGATTTCGCATGGCTCTGTCGCATGCACTAAGCTCTTCGCATCCTTTGCCAACGTGTCGTGGGTTGTTTGGGATCCTATATTGCACGTTGACTCCTCCTCTTGCGCGACGTCGCACGCCATCGCGTAGCGTCGCATGCTCTTTATTCTTCCTCTGTACTTTTAAGATTTCGCAGAGACGAACTTTGCGTCCATTTTACAAGTCTTGGAAAAAGTACAAACCTCGCAGTTCTTCGTCATGTCCCTAAACACTTCCAAGAGTCAATTTCGCGGACTCCTCGTTTCTCGCGGTTACCCTTTCTCGCGAAAACTCCCTTTCGCACTCCCCTTTCGCCACCGCACCCCTTCCTTAGCCTGTGTGTCCTGCGGATCTACATTCGGGGAGTTTCAAGCAGCGCAGTGCGCTCACGGCAGGCGGCAGGATTTGAGAGGCGAATGAATGGAGCCTGTTCGTCTTTCCTGACGCCAAAATGCCTTACCTTCCCTGTCCCCGCATTTCCCCCTCTCCCTTTCCCCATCCCCTTCCCGCTTCCCCCTCTCCCTTCCCCCTTTCCCACCCCCTCCATGCCCTTTCTCTCGTGATAAGACCTTTCTGGGGCGCCTACGGCCCCCGTCCCCTCCCCTTTCCCCCCCCTCACTGTTCCTATGCTTTCAAGCAGCGCAGCTTGTTCAAAGCGGGTTGCTGAATCTGGGCCGGATGAATGAGAGGGCTTGTGGGGAGTAACGTGGGGATGCGTCCCTTCTTGTCCCTCAATTCCCCCCATCACTCTTCTCTTAGAATCTTCACACTTTCCTCCCTCAGTCCCTCCTCCCCTCCCTCCCACCTCCCCCCCCCCCCCCCCCCCCCCCCCCGCCCCCCCTTCCTCCCCTCCTTCCCCCCTTATTATTTCTCCCTTCAAAGTTTCGCCCAAATTCTTTCCCCCTCGCTCTGCCCCTTTTACAATCCCCCTTTCGTTCTTCCCCCCTCATTTTCCTCCTCACACCCCCTCGCTCTATCCCCCTCACTCTTCCTCCGTCTCTCTCTCCCCCTCGCTCGCCCTCGCCCTCGCCACCACCCACTGCCAACGTGCTCACAGTGGGCAGCAGCGATGGGAGGGGCTTGCTGGCATGCTGCTGGCAACCCACCCCACCCCACCCCATCCCACCCCACCCCACTCCACCCCATCCCATCCGATCGCATCCCACCCTACCCCATCTGCAGGGCTCGGAGCAGCGCAGTGTGTTCACGGTGGGCAGCAGCGTGTGGGTGCCAAATGAGTGAGGCTTGCTGACACGGTGGCACCCCGCCCCACCCCACCCCACCCCATCTGCAGGGCTCGGAGCAGCGCAGTGTGTTCACGGTGGGCAGCAGCGTGTGGGTGCCGGACGAGGAGGATGCATGGGCGGAGGGCGATGTGGTGGGCGTCAAGGATGGCGCAGGGGCAGGGGCTGCGGGCGGGCAGGTGGTGGTGCGCACTATAGGGAAGAAGAAACGCGAGGTGAGTCAGACTGGTGCTGCTGGTGTTGTGTCTGACGCTGGTGGGGTGATGTGAGAAGAAGTAGAAGAAAAAGAGGAAGCGAGGAGGTGGGTCTGGGCCCATTTTTCTGAGGCGCCTATGTGATCACGGGGTGTTGGATGAGGAGGATGCATGGGCGGAGGGCGACGTGGTGGGCGTCAAGGATGGCGCGGGGGCAGGGGCTGCGGGCGGGCAGGTGGTGGTGCGCACTATAGGGAAGAAGAAGCGCGAGGTGAGAGATGGGCGGGTGTGGTGGTGATGGGTATGAAGTGGTGCTGACTGTAGGGGCTGACTGGTGGGGCTGCAGGCGGGCAGGTGGTGGTGCGCACTACAGGGAAGAAGCACGAGGTGAGTCTGGGGATGTGTGTGTGTGGTGGTGATGGGTAGGAAGTGGTGCTGCTGGTGGTGCTGTCTGGTGGGGCTGGGGGCGGGAAGGTGGTGGTGCGGACTACAGGGAAGAAGAAACGCGAGGTGAGTCTCGTGGTGGGTGTGTGGTGCTGTTGGTGATGCGTGTGTGTGGTGTGGTGGTGGTGGCAGGTGGTGCTGGTAATTTCAGCGAAGTTATAGGAGCTCAAAGAAATAAATAGATATATAGGTACGGAGGGGCGTGCAGGTGGTGACCAGAGTCAGGATAGGGAGGAATATGACAGCGTTAGTGACAATGATAGAGAGGCGTGCGGGGGGTGGGAATGGTGATGGGTGGTGGTGGTGGTGGTGGTGGTGATACGAGAATGGCGGAATCATGGACGATATGGTCAAGATGGCGAATCTGCACGAGCCGAGGGTGCCTTTTGAGTCCACTCAAAACCCTCCTCTCCCTTCCCCTCTCATCTTCTCAGGTGACGGTAGCAGCGGGTGCGTGTTACGCACGGGAGGAGGATGGGGGAATCATGGACGACATGGTCAAGATGGCCTACCTGCACGAGCCAGGGGTGCTCTGCAACCTCATGCTGCGCTACCAGCGCAACCTTATTTATGTAAGTGCTGGTGCTTTCTTTTGAAGCTTATTCTGTTGTGTGACAAGCTCAAGCTTGTTATTGTAAGTGTTGGATGGAGCTTTTGAGCTTATGCAGAAGGTAAAGCAGCTGGCACACTGGGTAAAGCGAGTAAGAGGGGGATTATCTTTTAACCTGATCCCCTAAACCCAAAACTCAAAACCCAGAATCTGAAACACTGAACACATGACACGTGATCGTGAGCATGAAACCCTGATAATCACAATCACGGGACTCCATAACCTCACTTCTCCCTTCCCCCCTCTCCCTTCCCTGCCCCTCCCATTTGCTCCCGCCTCCCATTACTACTCCTCCACCAGACGTACACAGGCAGCATTCTCATTGCGGCCAACCCCTTCATGCGCATCCCAGGCGTTGACGACCGGGAGATCTGAATGAATGCTAACCACAATTCTTTGAAGGACCCCCTCTCCCTGCCCCCTATCTCTCCCCTCCCTCCACCTTCTGTTGCTCCTTGCCCTCCTGCCAGACGTACACGGGCAGCATTTTGATTGCAGCAAACCCCTTCATGCGCATCCCAGGCATCTACGACCGGGAGATGAGGGAGGCGTACAGAGGGGCTCAGATCGGTGACCTCAGCCCACACGTGTTTGCCATTGCTGATAATGCGTACAGGTGAGCAGCATAGGGGGGGGATAGAGCGTACAGGTGAGGTGTAGGGAGGGAAGTGCAGGTGAGGAGATGAGATGGGACAAATAGCGCTGATGCATTAGAAGTTGGCTTCAGCCATTCTTATTGCCACAGCATATGTTCGCCATTGCTGATAACTCGTTCAGGTGAGGGCGTCAGGTGCCCAACAGGTGAGGGCGTCGATGTTGATAAGTCCGCCTCGTAACTACTTTCCTGAGTAGCTAACTTTCTGAGTAGCGAACATTTTGAGTAGCTAACTCGTGTTTTGCCAATCCATGTCCATCTGTGCAGAGCCATGGTGGACGATAAGCGCAGCCAGTCGATTCTGATTAGCGGAGAGAGTGGGGCGGGCAAGACAGAGACGACAAAGCTGGTGATGGAGTATCTGGCATCGGTGGGGGGACGGTCCGAGGCGACTGAGGGGCGCAGCATTGAAAGCCAAGTGCTGGAGGTGGGTCGAGTGGTCAAGCTCAGAACAGGGGGTGATGCTAATGAGGTGCAAAGTGCAACGGGCAAGGGGGCAAGACAGAGACGAGAAAGTTGGTGATGAAGTATCTGGCGTCCGCGGGTGGGCGGTCTGAGGCCACTGAGGGGCGCAGCATTGAAAGCCAAGTGCTGGAGGTGGGTCGAGTGGTCAAGCTCAGAACAGGGGGTGATGCTAATGAGGTGCAAAGTGCAACGGGCAAGGGGGCAAGACAGAGACGACAAAGCTGGTGATGGAGTATCTGGCGTCCGCGGGTGGGCGGTCTGAGGCCACTGAGGGGCGCAGCATTGAAAGCCAAGTGCTGGAGGTGAGTTGAGAGGTCGAGCTCAGAATGGGAGAGAGAAAGGGGGGGGAGTTGAGGGGGAAAAGGGAGGACAGGCTGTGGAATAGAGGTGGTTGGGGGGGTAAGAAAGGGAAGATGCCATGGGGTAAAGGGCAAGGTGCAAGACAGAGACAACAAAGCTGGTGATGGAGTACCTGGCATCGGTGGGGGGACGGTCTGAGGCCACTGAGGGGCGCAGCATTGAGAGCCAAGTGCTGGAGGTGAGGAAGAAGAAAGGAGGCAGGTGCTGGAATGGGGGTGTAGTAGGGTAAGAAAGGGGTGATGCAACGGGGTGCCGAGCAGCGGGCAAGACGGAGGCAACGAAGCTGGTGATGGAGTACCTGGCGTCTGTGGGGGGCCGGTCTGAGGCGACCGATGGGCGCAGCATTGAAAGCCAAGTGCTGGAGGTGAGTCGAGTGGTGAAGGTCAGAAAGGGGTGGTGCCGAATGGGTGTAAGGGGCAGGGGCAAGACGGAGGCAACGAAGCTGGTGATGGAGTACCTGGCTTCGGTGGGGGGGCGGTCTGAGGCCACTGAGGGGCGCAGCATTGAAAGGCAAGTGCTGGAGGTGAGAGGGGGAGGTGAGAAGGGAGGGGGGTGAGGGAAGTGCGAGGGAAAGATCGAGGGGGGTGAGGGAAGTGCGAGGGAAAGATGGAGGTGAACGGATGGGAAGGCGCAGCCGATTTTCGTCCCACTTTTCTTCCCCCTCCCTTGCCTACCTACTAGCCCACCAGTCGAACCCACTACTAAAGGCCTTCGGCAAGCCAAAACCCCTTCCCCCTTCCCCCTTCCCCCTTCCCCCTTCCCCTTCTCCCACACACTCCTCTCCCCTCCCATCCAAACCCGTCCCTTACGCTCCCATTCCCCTCCCTCCCAACCAACCCACCAGTCAAACCCATTGTTAGAGGCCTTTGGAAACGCCAAGACAGTGCGCAACGGCAACTCGAGTCGCTTTGGCAAGTTCATCGAAATCCAGTTCGACCAGCGGGTCCCTCCTTTCCTCTCCCTCCCACCCCTCTCTCTTGCCAAAATCATCCTCCCCTTCCTCTCCATTCCCCTTCTCTCTCCCCATCCCACGCACCCCCTTCCCCTCCCCTTCTCTTCAAACCCCTCCTCTCTCATCCCCTCCCATCCCTCTTCCTTGTTACCTACCAGTCCAACCCATTGTTGGAAGCCTTTGGCAATGCCAAGACGGTGCGCAACGACAACTCGAGTCGCTTTGGCAAGTTCATCGAGATCCAGTTCGACCAGCGTGGGCCTACTCTCCTCTCCTCTCCCCCCCCCTTCTTGCCAAACCTCCTCCTCCCCCCATCCCTCCTTCCTCTTCTCACCATCCCACACACTCCTCTCCTCTGTCCGCCCCCCTCCCATCCCATCCCCTCCCATCCCCGTCCCTTATCACCCACCAGTCAAACCCATTGCTAGAAGCCTTTGGCAACGCCAAGACAGTGCGCAATGACAACTCGAGTCGCTTCGGCAAGTTCATCGAGATCCAGTTCGACCAGCGCGGCCGCGTGTCTGGTGCTGCCATCCGCTCCTACCTTCTAGAGCGGTCCAGAGTGGTGCAGATAGCAGACCCCGAGCGCAACTACCACTGCTTCTACCAGCTCTGTGCGGGTGCATCCACTGAGGTGTGTGTGTACTCTCACAGGGGTGTGCCTGCCTGATTTCAGACCAGACTCTGGTCTTCAGGCCCTGACCTTTGAGGCGCCTCAAACAAATATGGTCTTCAGGCCCTGAGGGTGTAGTTACTCGGGTTGGGCTGACCCTCACAGCAACTACCACTGCTTCTACCAGCTCTGCGCTGGTGCATCCACTGAGGTGTGTGCGTGCATGTGCATGTGCATGTGTGTGTGTGTGTGGGGGGGGGGATATTGCAAATTGACTGCAGACCCTCGCTGGCTAGGGTTTTTGAGTCGACTGAATAGTTTTCCACCTTCTCTTGTACCAGTAGGAAGAGATATACCGGCTTCCAACAGGGCCAAACAGAGCATAGAAGTTTCACTACCTGAAGCAGACCACGTGCATCGAGCTGGAGTGGAAGCGGAGCAAGTAGTGTGATGTGGATCAAGCACGCGCCTTCCATGCCCTGTTCACGTCTCTTTCGTTCTTTCTTCCCCCCACTCCCCCCCCTTTGCCTTTCCAGGAGGCAGAGAAATACCGGCTGCCACCAGGGCCGAACAGGGCGGAAAAGTTTCACTACCTGAAGCAGAGCAAGTGCATTGAGCTGGAGGGGAAGCGCAGCAACGCAGAGGAATATGTGATAACGCGGAATGCCATGGACGTTATTGGGATCTCCCAGGACGAACAGGTGAGGGTGGGCGGTGGAATATGTTAGCAGTCCAAACATAGAGGGCCACCCATGGAATTAGGGTAGGTTTTCAGGTCGGTTGGGGATGGATAGGAGGAGGAGTATGTGATTGTACGCAGGGCGAGCAGGCGACTGGGCGAGGAGTATGTGATTGTACGGTAGCTTTGGATGCCATGGACTTGACTGGGCTGGGCTGGGATGTCGCAGGGCGAGCAGGCGAGGGGAAGATATTGGAGGCAACCGGACAGGGGGAACAGGGTGAACAGTTTTGCTGGTGCAATGCGATTTCCTTGCGTTTGGTCATACCATGCGTCCTCAACCACTCGGCAGACACCCATCTGCACTGCACGTGCGTGTGCAAGCAGGCGTCGAAATTCAGCATAGTGGTGGCGGTTCTGCATCTGTGGAACGTGGAGTTCAAGTAGAAGGGCGACAAGATGAGAGCTGCCAAGGTTTTCCCCTTTCCAGACATGCTACAACCTGGCCACCTCAACCCCCCACCCATCCCCCCCGAGCAGGCATCGATATTCGGCATAGTGGCGGCAATTCTGCATCTGGGGAACGTGGAGTTCAAGGAGAAGGGCGACAGGATGCGCATCGCCAAAATTACTCCTATCCAAACATGCCATTTCCCTCCCCCCTCACACACACCCCCCACTCGCCCTCTCTCTCTCCCCCCTTCCTCTCCCCCTCCTCTCCAACTCCCTTCTTTCTTAAACCCTCCACCTGTCCCGGTGCATGCATGCAGGCATCGATATTCGGCATAGTGGCAGCAATTCTGCATCTGGGAAACGTGGAGTTCAAGGAGAAGGGCGACAAGATGCGGATTGCCAAGCACTCGGAAGAGAACCTCGAGAACGTCGCCCACCTGCTCTCGTAAGCACCCTGTCTGCTGATGCCAGCTCACTTCTTGTCAGTACCTGCCCTGTGGACTTCTTTTGACTTCTGCTGTGGTCAAGCACTCGGAAGAGAACCTCGAGAACGTCGCCCACCTGCTCTCGTAAGCACCCTGTCTGCTGATGCCAGCTCACTTCTTGTCAGTACCTGCCCTGTGGACTTGTGTTGACTTCTGCTGTGGTCAAGCACTCGGAAGAGAACCTCGAGAACGTCGCCCACCTGCTCTCGTAAGCACCCTGGTCTCGAAAAACGTCCTAGGACGTGCCGTGTCCGTTATTCTCCCCTGTTTTTGAGCTGTCAGCGCATCCCTGCTCATTGCTAACTGTTGCTGTTGTTGCAGCCGCCGCCTCTGCCAACTGCTGCAGCTGATGCTGCTCCTGGAGGCTGGAGCTTCTTCCTGTCACCTCCTTTTCCCCGCTTATCTCAGGAGTCGCTGTACACAGTGAAGCGCAAGGTGGAATGGACGGCAGTGAGATGGTTCGATAAAACTGTGCTCTTTCTCATGCCACACACCCGCTACTGTTCCCGACATCCCTCTCCCCATGCCGACCTCGCTCTCCCCATGCCGACCTCGCTCTCCCCATCCCGACCTCTTCCCCAACCCCCCCCAGGTGCGACAAGAAGAAGCTTCAGGAGTCGCTATGCACGATGAAGCGCAAGGTGGGCGGCGAGGTGATGCTCTGATTACACCGTGCTGTTTCGCATGCAACACAACGCCTCTTCTCCCCCACATCACATCCCTGTCCCAACTCCCCCCCAGGTGTGACAAGAAGAAGCTGCAGGAGTCGCTGTGCACGATGAAGCGCAAGGTGGGAGGCGAGGTGATCAAGAGCTATTTGGACGAGAAGGGCGCGGTTGTGCGCCGAGACACGCTCGCTAAGACACTCTACTCCAAGCTCTTTGACTGGTGGGTGGTTGGTTGACTGGTGGGTGGTTGGTTGGTTGACTGGTGGGTGGTTGGTTGGTTGCATAGATGGTGGGTGGGTGGGTGGGCAGTGGTGGTGGGAGGCGAGGTGATCAAAAGCTATTTGGATGAGAAGGACGCTGTCACACTCTCTAAGACACTCTACTCCAAGCTCTTTGACTGGTGTGTGGGTGACTGGTTGATTGAAGGGGTTGGACTGGTGGTTGTTGTTACGAGCAAAGTGGATGGGAATGAAAAGGTTGCGGTGGTTGGAAGGGATTTGCGGTGGTTGCTACTCTTAGCCAAGCTCCACCACCGGCATGGCATTGGAAGGCTCAAGGTGATGATGCCTCATGCGTGAGGTGGTGTGTGAGTCGAATCGAAAGGACGTGCCATGCCATTGGCCAGGATGCCACGAATCCAATGCTCTCTCGCTCTCCCTCTCGCTTTCCCCCACCCACCCCCCCTACCAGGATAGTGGAGAAGGTGAATCGGTCCATTAGGCAGGGCGCCAATGTTCTCTCTTCCTCACACTCCCACAACACCCCCTTTTCTCCTAACCCTTACACACCCCTCCCCCTCCAATCGCAGGATAGTGGAGAAGGTGACTCGGTCCACTGGGCAGGACGCCAACTCCATGGCGCTCACACACACACATGCACCCCCCCCCCCCCCCCGCCACCTCTATCAGGATAGTGGAGAAGGTGAATCGGTCCATTGGGCAGGACGCCAATTCCATGGCTCTCATTGGCGTGCTTGATATTTACGGCTTCGAGCACTTCAAACTCAACAGGTGTACCTCGAAATTCCCTCACATTCTGTTAAGACTTCGTGGCGTTGGATGACATTTGCAGCAGGTGTCATGCATCGTTTTGTGCATCCATTCTGGTAGAACCAACCAGGGGACATTTGCACTCCTGTCAAGTCAAGCATGTGAATCACTCATGGCAAGCATAATCCGTTGCACTCTTGGGCATCATCTGTTGGTTCTCTCTATCGTTAATTTTCTGGGTAAATTCCTATCTTTATCTGCTGCTGAGGGCTTCACACACACGTGTAACTGTGGAGCATCAGCGTTCTAGTCTGTCTCCACATCATTGCACATCGACTTGTTTGATTGTAGCAGTTCAGGTAGTGACATGATTCAGGCACTCACCGATCTACTGTGATGCCACGTCAGGAGCGTCTCACAGCTTGTATATCTCCCTGCTGACACCCCCCAATCCTCACCTCACCCCCACAATCCCCACCAGCTTTGAGCAGTTCTGCATCAATCTGGCCAATGAGAAGCTCCAACAGCATTTTAACCAGGTAATGCTAACAGTTACCCGGTGCAACGTAGAATATCTTTGTGAGTCTCCCCTGATCTGAACTCCACCTACCTACACCCTTCCTGTGAAACACCCATTACATACAAAAGAGCCCTGAAGAGACTCACACATCACACCACATAATTCTACTACTCTATGTTGCTCCAAATGCCTACCAGCTCCAGCCTTTCCCTTTCGTCTTTCACCCCTCTCCTCTCTGCTGCTCTCTCCCCCCCTACTCACACCACTCCACGCTCACACACCCCCACCAACCAACCACCACCAGCACGTGCTGAAGCTGGAGCAGGAGGAGTACGAACGGGAGGAGATCAACTGGAGCCAGGCTTCCCCTTGCTTCTCCTTTCACCCCTCCCCTCGTCTCTCCACTGCTCTCCTCCCCTACTCACACCACTCCACGCTCACACCCCCCCACCAACCACCACCAGCACGTGTTGAAGCTGGAGCAGGAGGAGTATGAGAGGGAGGAGATCAACTGGAGCTACATCAACTTCAGAGACAACCAGGACGTGCTCGACCTTGTGGAAGGGGTGAGTGATGGGTTGGGTTGGTTGAGGTGATCGGTGGGGTGGGGCGCGGTGGGGTGGGGTGGAAGGGGTGAGCTGATGATGGGGGCTAGAGGGAAGGGGTGAGTGAGCTGATGAGGAGATCAACTTCCGCGACAACCAGGACGTGCTGGACCTCGTTGAAGGGGTGAGTGGGGTAGAGGTAGCTGTTGGGTGGGGCTGGTGGGTTTTGAGGCGCCAAAACAATCGTTGCAACACACTTGGGGATCAACTGGAGCTACACCATTCTCCGCGACAACCAAGACGTGCTGGACCTCGTTGAAGGGGTGAGCTGATGGGCGAGGGACGAGTGGGAAGGGGTGAGTGAGGGCATGGGTGGGGTGAGAGGGATGAGCAGATGAGGTCCAATGGAGTGGAGGGAGGGGTGGGTGAGGTGTTAGAGGAGATCAACTGGAGCTACATCAACTTTCGGGACAACCGGGACGTGCTGGATTTAGTGGAAGGGGTGAGCTGAAGGGTGGGTGTGGCTAGTGCCAGTGGGACTAGTGGTTGAGTGAGATGCAGGCAGTGGAAAGGCGTGAGCTGAAGGGTGGCTGTGGCTAGTGCCAGTGGGACTAGTGGTTGAGTGAGATGCAGGCAGTGGAAAGGCGTGAGCTGAAGGGTGGGTGTGGCTAGTGCCAGTGGGACTAGTGGTTGAGTGAGATGCAGGCAGTGGAAAGGCGTGAGCTGAAGGGTGGGTGTGGCTAGTGCCAGTGGGACTAGTGGTTGAGTGAGATGCAGGCAGTGGAAAGGCGTGAGCTGAAGGGTGGGTGTGGCTAGTGCCAGTGGGACTAGTGGTTGAGTGAGATGCAGGCAGTGGAAAGGCGTGAGCTGAAGGGTGGGTGTGGCTAGTGCCAGTGGGACTAGTGGTTGAGTGAGATGCAGGCAGTGGAAAGGCGTGAGCTGAAGGGTGGGTGTGGCTAGTGCCAGTGGGACTAGTGGTTGAGTGAGATGCAGGCAGTGGAAAGGCGTGAGCTGAAGGGTGGGTGTGGCTAGTGCCAGTGGGACTAGTGGTTGAGTGAGATGCAGGCAGTGGAAAGGCGTGAGCTGAAGGGTGGGTGTGGCTAGTGCCAGTGGGACTAGTGGTTGAGTGCGATGCAGGCAGTGGAAAGGCGTGAGCTGAAGGGTGGGTGTGGCTAGTGCCAGTGGGACTAGTGGTTGAGTGAGATGCAGGCAGTGGAAAGGCGTGAGCTGAAGGGTGGGTGTGGCTAGTGCCAGTGGGACTAGTGGTTGAGTGAGATGCAGGCAGTGGAAAGGCGTGAGCTGAAGGGTGGGTGTGGCTAGTGCCAGTGGGACTAGTGGTTGAGTGAGATGCAGGCAGTGGAAAGGCGTGAGCTGAAGGGTGGGTGTGGCTAGTGCCAGTGGGACTAGTGGTTGAGTGAGATGCAGGCAGTGGAAAGGCGTGAGCTGAAGGGTGGGTGTGGCTAGTGCCAGTGGGACTAGTGGTTGAGTGAGATGCAGGCAGTGGAAAGGCGTGAGCTGAAGGGTGGGTGTGGCTAGTGCCAGTGGGACTAGTGGTTGAGTGAGATGCAGGCAGTGGAAAGGCGTGAGCTGAAGGGTGGGTGTGGCTAGTGCCAGTGGGACTAGTGGTTGAGTGAGATGCAGGCAGTGGAAAGGCGTGAGCTGATGCGGCTGGTGCTATATAGAGTGAGTTGCTGCATCTTCTATTCGCCATCGCGTGTTCCTCAAAGCTGCTCTGAACCATCTACTTCCATACTCAGGCATCTTTGACAACACCCAAACAGGCTTGACAACATGCATATGTCTCGCACCATTGCTCCCACAGGGCTGTGGGTGGGTGCATGTGCGTGGACAGTAGCTCTTATTGTCCTCTCTCGCTTTGAGACGTCACAATGATTGTCCTCTCTCGTCCCCTTGTGCTGCTTCTTTCTGCTGCTGCAGGACAAGGGCATTCTCACACTGCTCGATTCAGCTTGGTACGTCCCATCTCCCTGCCTTTCCAGCCCTCACCGTTTCCATATACCCGTGTTCTTCAGTGCCCCCCCCCCCCCCTTTTTTTTTTGGGGGGGAGTCGACCCTAAGTTTTCCTCAAAAGCAGAGTCTATGCCTTTCCTGCCCTCACCATGTCTCTGTCTGTCTTTCATACACCTATGCTTTCCTCACACACGAGCAAACCAGCGCAAGAGCACTGGCACTCTTTCCCTCCTTCCCTTTCTCTCCCAACCCCCAGCAAGCTAGCCCAGTCCACACCCGAGTCCTTCACCATGTCTCTCTACGACGCCTTTCTGAAGCACGAGCGATTCACCAAGTCCAAGGGCTCTGTCACGGATTTCACACTGGAGCACTACGCAGGGCGAGTCAAGTACAGCACGGTGGACTTCATCAGCAAGAACCTCGACGCCGTGGTATCAGAGCACGAGGCGCTGCTGCAGAAGTCCACCGATCCCTTTGTGGCCGCGCTCTTCCCCGCGGTTCAAGAGGAGGTGAAGGAGGGGGGCGGGAAGGGCGGCAAGGCCACCACCAAATTCGCTTCTCTTGGGAAGTCGTTCAAAGTGAGTAGTACAGAACCTAATAACAGTTTTTCATTTGAAGTAAGGGAGAGCGTGTGACTGTTTAAAGGGTCAGGCACCTAGGTCAAGGTAAAAAAAAATATTTTCTTGGGGCCTTCTACATGTGTGTGTGTGTGTGTGTGTGTGTGTGTGTGTGTGTGTGTGTGTGTGTGTGTGTGTGTGTGTGTGCGTGTTGTTTTTCTTATTTCTTTTATTTTCTTTCTTTTCTTTTCCCTCTATTACACTTTTTTTTCTGTTACTTTGCAGCTACAACTGGCACAGCTGATGGAGACGCTGAACCGCACAGAACCGCACTACATCCGGTGTATTAAGCCCAACTCCAAGAGCCGACCAGCGCTGTTTGAGAAGAGCATGGTGGTGGAGCAGCTGCGATCGGGGGTGAGTGCGATGGGGGGATGGGAAAGGGGTTAGAGGTGTCAGGGGTTAGAGGTGTCAGGGTTGATTGAGGGAGATGAGGGATAGGTACAGCGGTCGTGCTGTTTGAGAAGAGCGTGGTGGTGGAGCAGCTGCGATCGGGGGTGAGTGCGATGGGGGGATGGGAAAGGGGTTAGAGGTGTCAGGGGTTAGAGGTGTCAGGGTTGATTGAGGGAGATGAGGGATAGGTACAGCGGTCGTGCTGTTTGAGAAGAGCGTGGTGGTGGAGCAGCTGCGATCGGGGGTGAGTGCGATGGGGGGATGGGAAAGGGGTTAGAGGTGTCAGGGGTTAGAGGTGTGAGGGTTGATTGAGGGAGATGAGGGATAGGTACAGCGGTCGTGCTGTTTGAGAAGAGCGTGGTGGTGGAGCAGCTGCGATCGGGGGTGAGTGCGATGGGGGGATGGGAAAGGGGTTAGAGGTGTCAGGGGTTAGAGGTGTCAGGGTTGATTGAGGGAGATGAGGGATAGGTACAGCGGTCGTGCTGTTTGAGAAGAGCGTGGTGGTGGAGCAGCTGCGATCGGGGGTGAGTGCGATGGGGGGATGGGAAAGGGGTTAGAGGTGTCAGGGGTTAGAGGTGTGAGGGTTGATTGAGGGAGATGAGGGATAGGTACAGCGGTCGTGCTGTTTGAGAAGAGCGTGGTGGTGGAGCAGCTGCGATCGGGGGTGAGTGCAATGGGGATAAGGAGGAAGGGGTTTGGAGGTGAGTGCGGGAGATGAGGAATGAGGCGAACGGATGGGGAACGAGTGAGGAAGGGTGGGTAATGTAGGCGGGAGTGAGGGGTCGTGTCATGCTGTTTCAGAAGAGCATCGTGGTGGAAATCACTTCTGAGAATTCTAAAAAATACCCATCGTGGAGCAACTGCGGTCGGGAGTGGGTGGGGGAGGCGAGGGGTGAGGGGTTGGGTGAGTTGGGCGGGAGTGATGGGTCGGGCGGAATGTGCTGTTCCAGGAAACATGATCGGGCTGGGGTGCTGTGACAGCTGCAGTTGGGGATGAGTGGGGCCGATGAGGGATGGAGGGTTTGGGGAGGAAGTTATCAGAACCGCTGTTTATGGATAAGCTTTGATACTGCTCCAGTGTTCATGCACTGGAGCATTGCACACTTGCTCTACGCCCCCCCACGGTCCCACCCACATCACCCTCTTGCAAACCTCCCCCCACCCCACCCCCCTTCGCCTCCCCTGTGTTGCAGGGAGTGTTGGAGGCCATTCGCATGTGCTCGGCGGGCTACCCCACTCGCCGCCTCTTTGACGACTTTATCGACAGATTCTCGCTGCTCGTGCCCACCCTCTTTGACAAGGAGTGAGTCCCTCCCTTGCTCCCATTCGTCTCCACCTGGAGCTTCCCCGAGAAGCAACGTAGAAATTTCACCAGCCTGGCGACGAGGCACCCCCCCACTTGTTGCTTCTCTGATGAACTCATCGACAGGTTCGCGCTTCTCGTCCTTTCCTCCCCGTTTTCACTTTCGTCCGTTCCCATTCTTCCTTGCCTCATGTCTGATCCTGAGTATGTGGAGTGGAGGTCATTCTGCGCCACGCCAAGCTGGAGTTTATTCTCTCTTGTTCTTTTGACTCAAAAGGCATCTTGGTCTGACCTGATTCCCATGCCGTCCTGTGCCCGTATTGCGCACAGGATGTCAGACCCCGAGTACGTGGAGGTCATTCTGCGCCATGCCAAGCTGGAGAACTACCAGGTGAGCTCCTCCTGGCCACGCGAGTGTGTTTGTGTGTGTGTGGGTGGGCGGGTGGATGTGTGCGTGTGCGCGCGTGTGGGTGCTTCTTTGTGTGTAGGCAGGGGGGTGGTATGTGCACACTTGCGCATCCGTGTGTGCAAGTGGGGGTAGAACCACCAGCAGTGACGCACGACAACTATGATTCCCCGCACTCCACCCCTCTCCCGCACATCGGCAAGTCCAAGGCATTCCTACGGGCGGGCCAGGTGGCGCTGATGGATGGAGACGTGCTGTGTTGCTGGCCCTGGTGGAACGCCCGTGGCACGCTGCTGTTGTGCATGCACACACTCACGCAATAGCATTCACTCCTCCCGTGGATTCCCCCCCATCCATTTTCTGCGCCCTCTCACCCTCCCACAGATCGGCAAGTCAAAGATATTCCTGCGGGCCGGGTCAGATGGCACTGATGGAGACGTGCCGACTAGAGATCATAAACGCCGCTGCCGCTGCTGCTGCTGCTGCTGCTGCTGCTGCTGCTGCTGCTGCTGCTGCTGCTGCTGCTGCTGCTGCTGCTGCTGTGCAGCGTGCACACTCACCAACGCTCCCACGTGCATTCTCCCTCCCCCATTCCCACAGATCGGCAAGTCGAAGATATTCCTGCGGGCGGGGCAGATGGCTCTAATGGAGACGTGCCGTCTCGAGATAATGAACGCTGCTGCTGCCCGCATTCAGCGTGCCACGCGCCGCTTCCTCTTCCACCTGCACCGCGCCCGCGCCGCCCTCTGCATCCAGAAGCTCTGGCGCGGTGAGTGGGGTTATTTGTTGTGCCGCTGTTTTGTTGTGGTGAGTGAGTGGGGCTCTCTGTTGCTCCTCTCGGTGATTCTGCGCTGCCCTCTGCATCCAGAAGCTCTGGCGCGGTGAGTGGGGTTTATTGTATGGCTAGGAGTGGGGCTCTCTCTTGTTGCATCCAGTGCTCTCGTCATGTGCGCTCTGCTCGTTGCTGATCCGACTCATGCCTTCCACACCGCCCTCTGCACCTACACTGCCTTCCCACCCCCGCCCCTCCCTTCCCTCTCCATTCCTCCTGTCCCTTCCCTCGTGCACCACCTGCAGCGGCGCCTGGCAGCGACATGCATTCAGCGCATGGAGAGAGGACGGCAGCAGCGCATGCGCTTCCTCACACAATCCCTCCCCTCCCTTCCCTTCCGTTCCCTTCCCTTACTTGTCTTCTGTTCCCTACCGCTGCCAACCTACACGGCACGGGTGTTAGTGCACCACCTGCGGCAGCGCCTGGCAGCAACGTGCATCCAGAGAATGGAGCGGGGCCGGCAGCAGCACATGCGCTTCCTCACAACATCCCTCCTATCCCGTCCTTTCCTTCACCCCCCCTTCCAGCCTACAAGGCACGGCTGTTTGTGTACCACCTGCGGCAGCGCCTGGCAGCAACGTGCATCCAGAGAATGGAACGGGGCCGGCAGCAGCGCATGCGCTTCCTTGTGCTGCGACGGGCTGCAATCACCATCCAAGCCAAGTACCGCATGCATCTGTATCGCATGCGCTACCTGCACATGCGGGATAACCTTGCTGCCACCTGCATTCAGGTGTGTGTCAGTGGTGTATTTGTGAGGACAGGATCCCCCACCTGTCTTCTCCTCGCAAGCCCTGGAAGGCAATTTGATGTTCTCTCCCCCCCATCCACTGGCACCCCCCCATCCACTGGCACCCCCCCATCCACTGGCACCCCCCCATCCATTGGCACCCCCCCATTCACTGGCACCCCCCCATCCACTGGCACCCCCCCATCCACTGGCACCCCCCCATCCACTGGCACCCCCCCATCCACTGGCACCCCATCCGCCCCATGCATGCTCTCTTTCATCCATACCACCTCCCCATTGTCCCACGCATCCCTTCCTACCCCCCAGTCTTCTCTCCCACTCCCGCTCTGCCCCCCCTCTACCCGCCTCTCTCCAGAGCCACTGGTGCAGTTACGCGGCTCGCAAGCCCTCCCATTCTTTTATCCATGCGCATCCTTTCCCCCGGCCTCACCCTCTCCCCATCTCCTCTCCCCCGGCCTCACCCTCTCCCCATCTCCTCCCCCCCTTTTCCTGTTTCTCTCTCCCCAGTGTCACTGGCGGGGCTATGCGGCTCGCAAGCCCTGGAAGGCCGTTCGAGGTGCCTAACACACGCTGCCGTCCCCCCATTCACCTCTCTCTTCCTCTCCTTCTCTCTGCCTCGCTCTTTCTGCAGTGTCACTGGCGCGGCTATGCGGCTCGGAAGCCATGGAAGGCCCTGCGGCAGTACTTCTTTGCACGCCTGGCCAGGCTGCGATATAAGAACCTCAAGCTGGTGCGTGCCCGCCTGTACTTGATTGGGTTGATTCACTTGAAATACGTGCACCCCCCCACCCCTTTCCACTGTCTCCGCAAACACCTCTCTCTCTCTGCTCTACACTCCCGGCCCAACCCCTCCACACTCATCCGTCTAGAACCCCTCCCCCGCCTCCCAATTCGGCTTCTGCGACACCCACCCTTCGTTCCAGCCCCACATCCCTCTCATTTGATGCCATTCACCCATCTCAGCTTGATCACCCCTCCAGCACTCCCGCTGCCCCTTCCTCGCTAGTCTCCTTTCAGTTTCTGCCAGCTGTTTCTCCTTCCAGCTCCCAGCCTTGTGGTTATTTATCGCGCTTGCTTGCTCCTCTGCTTTCCTCCCATGCCTGCCTTCTATTCCACCAATCACAGGAGGCGACTCGCATTGCTGAGCTGGCGCCGCCACGCAAGAAGACGGAGGTAGCAATGGATACGATTCGCATGATGGTGCTGCGCGTGCAACGAGTGAGTGTGACTGTACGGGGGGTTGGTGGATGGGAAAGTGTGATTGGAGGCGGAGGGCAGGGTAGGGGAATTGCGGCGCGCGGCAGGGAGGGAGATAGTGGGATGTGATGCGAGTCCGTATGTGCCTGCCTGCGTGTCCATTCCCCTATCTCTGCATGCCCCTGAAACCTCTTCTCTCTATCTCTGAAACGATTTCTGACTCGACAAAATTTGTTCCTGCATGTCTGTTCCCCCGTCTCTGCATGCCCCTGAAACCTCTTCCTCTTATCTCTAAACCCTTTTAACCCCCCCCAAACCCGCGACCACCCCGCCCCCACCCCCTCGTTCCCCCTCCTCCCCCGCAACAGGACAAGGCGGAGAAGGGGCGGCAGGCGTTGGAACGCCAGCTGGCAGAGGCATGAGAGGAGGTGGAGCGGCGGGGCAGGGAGATTGCCCGGCTGCAGGAGATGCTGGATGCGGAACAGGCGGGGGCAGAGGCTGCAGAGGGTGAGGCGATCCAATTCTTCTCCGTGCCACTTATCCCTCTCCCGTACCATTCCCCCTCTCCACTCACTCTCCCCACTCTTCTACCCCAGGACAAGGCAGAAAAGGGGCGGCATGCGTTGGAACGCCAGCTGGTAGAAGCACGAGAGGAGGTGGAGCTGCGGGGTAGGGAGATTGCGGCACGCGGCAGGGAGATAGCTCGGCTGCAGGAGATGCTGGATGCGGAACAGGCGAGGGCAGAGCCTGCAGAGGGTGAGGCGATCCAATTCTCCTCCGTGCCACTCATCCCTCTCCATATCACCCATTCCCCCACTTCCCACACTTCCCTACCCCAGGACAAGGCAGAAAAAGGACGACAGGCGCTGGAGTGCCAGCTGGCGGAGGCAAGAGAGGAGGTGGAGCGGCGGGGTAGGGAGATTGCGGCACGCGGCAGGGAGATAGCTCGGCTGCAGGAGATGCTGGATGCGGAACAGGCGAGGGCAGAGGCTGCAGAGGCGGAGGTGAGGACGATGGTGGCGGAGCGGGAGGAGCAGCGGGAGGAGCAGCAGCAGCACTTGGTGAAGATGAAGGAGCTCTCTGTGCTGCCTGACGTGCTCAGCCATACGCCCACTGCTGCTTCTGCTGCTGCTGCGGGTGGGGTTGGTGATGGTGCTGCTGCTAGGGATGAGGCTAGGGTATTGGCAAATGCGGCAGCTGCAGCAGTGGCGGCTGTTGACGGGGCGGTGGGAGCGACTGAAGCAGGGTCTAGGGACGAGGCTGGAGGAGCTGAAGCCGCTGCAGCAGCAGCAGCAGCAGAAGCAGTGCCAGCTGCAGTGTCAGCACCCGCTCCCACAGCAGCAGCAGCAGCAGCAGCGGCAGGAAGAGTGGCAGAGGCTGCAGGGATGCACGTGGGTGCACCCCCTCCTCTGCACACAGGGCCTGTACTGTGTGCTCGGTGTGCGGGGAGAGTGGAGGCATCAGGAGGCATTCCCGTGTCCCCTTCGTCCCTCCGCTCCCTTGCCTCTCCCTCCTCCCGCCGGCCTCCCCCGTTTGCTGTATCTCCCAGGAGAACCCCTACTGCCGCTGCTAGAGATGAGGCTAGGGTGTTTACCAGTGGCGCCGCCGCCGCCGCCGCCACTGCTGCTGCTGCTGCTGCTGCTGCTGCTGCTGCTGCCAGTGCTGCGTCTGTTGACCCGTATGCTGACCATGCAAGGAGGCCTGTGCAAGGCGAGGGCGAGGGAGAGGAGGGAGAGGAGGAGGGAGTGGAGGAGGTGAAAGAGGTGGCAATGGAGGGGGATAGGGAGAAGGAGTGTGTTGTCTTGGGGGTGGAGGGCGGCGCAGACAGGACGGCGCTTGCCAACCATTTCCTGCCGCCCATTTTGGAAAGATCTGCACAGAGCGAGGCGGATCTAGTGGAGGCAGAAGAGAGGGCCGGGAACAGAGGCAAGGACGGCAGTGGGGACGAGGAGCAGGAGGAGCAAGGTCAGAGGAAGCAGCAGCAAGCTCAGGAGAAGGGGCAAGAGCAGGAGCAGGTGCAGGGAGGAAAGGGCGAGGGGCGAGGGGAAGGGGCAGCAGCAGCAGCGGGAGGCGAGGAGCACAAGGGAGGGAAGCCGCGGCCTGTGTCCCCTCTATCAGCCGGTGCCAGTGCCATCCGCGATAGACTCACTCTGGACGTGGGCGCTGGCAGCACCACCAGTGGCGCTGCTGCTGCTGCTGCCGCTGCAGGAGCAGCAGCAGGAACAGCAGCAGGGACAGCAGCAGGAACAGCATCCGCGGGAGCAGCAGCAAGTGTGGGCCCAGGGGGGGGCGCTCCTCTGCCTCCCAGCGACAGCAGCAGGCGCCCCATGCGCCCCCGTGCCGCCTCCTCTTCAGGCTCAGGCTGGCAGGTCCCCTCAGAGGACGGTGACTTAGACCACGACGGGGGCTCAGCAGCGGAGCAGGACAGAGGGCCCTTGAGTGCTGACCGGGGCCCTCTTAGTTCTGAGAGACCCAGGAGAATGTCGGCTGGAGCAGGAGGGGGTGGAGGGGGAGGGGGGGCGGGAGGGAAGGAGTTTGGACGGTATGGGAGTAGCTCGTTCCGGGGCTCGCCGGCCCGGGAGTTTGAGGGGGGGGCGCGGGTGGGGCGAGGGGAGGAGGGGTCGTGGAGTGGGAGGAAGCTGGGCGGAGTGGGGTCGAGATCTGCCCGGATCGGGGCTAGTGAGGCGTCACCGAGGGGAGGGGTTGGGATGGGGATGGGGACTCCGCCCACGCCTGGGACGAGTGGGGCGGGGACGCCGAGGGGGAAGAGTCTGACGTTTTCGGCGAGCAACTTTGATAAGATCCTTGCTAGCATGCAGCGCGAAGTGGAGATTGCACAGAAGGTGAGATTGCACAGAAGGTGAGATTCCTGCAAGAGTTTGGGTTGCCTCAGAATCAGATATCAAGATTGCTAGAATTTGTGAAAGAAGCTGCCATCTATCCCTCTCTTCTCCCCCTTCTCTCTTCCCCGCCAACACACACCCTTTCCACATCAGATGCGCGAGGAGAACAACTGGCTGCGGGCGGCCTACAAGGAGGCGGTGCACAAGGCAGAGGTGGCGAGGCAGGCAGGGCCGCATGTGTCTGTCACCAACGCGCTACAACTCACCCCCACCCCTCGTGTCCCCTCTCGTCAGATGCGCGAGGAGAACAACTGGCTGCGGGCAGCATACAAGGAGGCGGTGCACAAAGCAGAGGTGGCGGCAGCACTGGCGGCGCATGCGGGCCCATGTCATCCCTGTGTCCTTTACTCTGCTCCCCACCTCCCTCATCAGATGCGAGAGGAGAACAACTGGCTGCGAGCAGCCTACAAAGAGGCAGTGCACAAGGCAGAGGTGGCGGCAGCACTGGCGGGCGCAGAGAGGGCGCGGGCGGAGGAGGCGGAGAGGAATGTGGCAGCAAGGGAGGAGGAGATGCGGGAGGCCCTGGTGCGATGCCATGAGCTGCAGGAGAAGCTGCTCGGGTGAGTGCGGGTGGTGCGGTGATGGCAGGTCGTGGGATGAGTGCGGGTGGTGGGTGAGTGAGTGAGGTCGCTTCAGAACATGCATTCTCTAGCTGCAAGCTCCTTCGACATCCATGCGCTTTCCTAAATGCATCCACACCCCACACTATCCCCTTTATTCCTCCTTCCCTGATGCACACACACACCCACACACCTCCTCACTCCCCCCATTATCTATCCTCCTCACCCCCCGTGTCCACCACAGCAAAGCGCGGGAGGTGCGCACGCTGAGTCAGAGGCTGATCGCCTTCCAGGCCAGCATGGCCAACGCCAACCCCGCCATGCCCATCGACAAGCAGCAGGTGCGAGCTAAACTCCTCCCAGGTTGGGTTTGAGAATTCTCCTATATTTGTAGGCTGGTTTCGAGTATTCTCACAACCAGCCTTCCAGGCCAGCATGGCCAGTGCCAATCCCGCCATGCCCGTTGACAAGCAGCGGGTGATATTTCACACACTTCGCACTCAGCAGGTAGATTACCTGCTGCTCGCACTCCATTTCCTCCCTCCCTTCTGCTCGCTCTCTTCCTTCTGCTCGCTCTCTTCCTTCTGCTCGCTCTCTTCCTTCTGCTCGCTCTCTTCCTTCTGCTCGCTCTCTTCCTTCTGCTCGCTCTCTTCCTTCTGCTCGCTCTCTTCCTTCTGCTCGCTCTCTTCCTTCTGCTCGCTCTCTTCCTTCTGCTCGCTCTCTTCCTTCTGCTCGCTCTCTTCCTTCTGCTCGCTCTCTTCCTTCTGCTCGCTCTCTTCCTTCTGCTAGCTCTCTTCCTTCTGCTCGCTCTCTTCCTTCTGCTAGCTCTCTTCCTTCTGCTCGCTCTCTTCCTTCTGCTCGCTCTCTTCCTTCTGCTCGCTCTCTTCCTTCTGCTCGCTCTCTCCCTTCTGCTCGCTCTCTTCCTTCTGCTCGCTCTCTTCCTTCTGCTCGCTCTCTTCCTTCTGCTCGCTCTCTTCCTTCTGCTCGCTCTCTTCCTTCTGCTCGCTCTCTTCCTTCTGCTCGCTCTCTTCCTTCTGCTCGCTCTCTTCCTTCTGCTCGCTCTCTTCCTTCTGCTCGCTCTCTTCCTTCTGCTAGCTCTCTTCCTTCTGCTCGCTCTCTTCCTTCTGCTAGCTCTCTTCCTTCTGCTCGCTCTCTTCCTTCTGCTCGCTCTCTTCCTTCTGCTCGCTCTCTTCCTTCTGCTCGCTCTCTTCCTTCTGCTCGCTCTCTTCCTTCTGCTCGCTCTCTTCCTTCTGCTCGCTCTCTTCCTTCTGCTCGCTCTCTTCCTTCTGCTCGCTCTCTTCCTTCTGCTCGCTCTCTTCCTTCTGCTCGCTCTCTTCCTTCTGCTCGCTCTCTTCCTTCTGCTCGCTCTCTTCCTTCTGCTCGCTCTCTTCCTTCTGCTCGCTCTCTTCCTTCTGCTCGCTCTCTTCCTTCTGCTCGCTCTCTTCCTTCTGCTCGCTCTCTTCCTTCTGCTCGCTCTCTTCCTTCTGCTCGCTCTCTTCCTTCTGCTCGCTCTCTTCCTTCTGCTAGCTCTCTTCCTTCTGCTCGCTCTCTTCCTTCTGCTAGCTCTCTTCCTTCTGCTCGCTCTCTTCCTTCTGCTAGCTCTCTTCCTTCTGCTCGCTCTCTTCCTTCTGCTCGCTCTCTTCCTTCTGCTCGCTCTCTTCCTTCTGCTCGCTCTCTCCCTTCTGCTCGCTCTCTTCCTTCTGCTCGCTCTCTTCCTTCTGCTCGCTCTCTTCCTTCTGCTCGCTCTCTTCCTTCTGCTCGCTCTCTTCCTTCTGCTCGCTCTCTTCCTTCTGCTCGCTCTCTTCCTTCTGCTCGCTCTCTTCCTTCTGCTCGCTCTCTTCCTTCTGCTCGCTCTCTTCCTTCTGCTAGCTCTCTTCCTTCTGCTCGCTCTCTTCCTTCTGCTCGCTCTCTTCCTTCTGCTCGCTCTCTTCCTTCTGCTCGCTCTCTTCCTTCTGCTCGCTCTCTCCCTTCTGCTCGCTCTCTTCCTTCTGCTCGCTCTCTTCCTTCTGCTCGCTCTCTTCCTTCTGCTCGCTCTCTTCCTTCTGCTCGCTCTCTTCCTTCTGCTCGCTCTCTTCCTTCTGCTCGCTCTCTTCCTTCTGCTCGCTCTCTTCCTTCTGCTCGCTCTCTTCCTTCTGCTCGCTCTCTTCCTTCTGCTCGCTCTCTTCCTTCTGCTCGCTCTCTTCCTTCTGCTCGCTCTCTTCCTTCTGCTCGCTCTCTTCCTTCTGCTCGCTCTCTTCCTTCTGCTCGCTCTCTTCCTTCTGCTCGCTCTCTTCCTTCTGCTCGCTCTCTTCCTTCTGCTCGCTCTCTTCCTTCTGCTCGCTCTCTTCCTTCTGCTCGCTCTCTTCCTTCTGCTCGCTCTCTTCCTTCTGCTCGCTCTCTTCCTTCTGCTCGCTCTCTTCCTTCTGCTCGCTCTCTTCCTTCTGCTCGCTCTCTTCCTTCTGCTCGCTCTCTTCCTTCTGCTCGCTCTCTTCCTTCTGCTCGCTCTCTTCCTTCTGCTCGCTCTCTTCCTTCTGCTCGCTCTCTTCCTTCTGCTCGCTCTCTTCCTTCTGCTCGCTCTCTTCCTTCTGCTCGCTCTCTTCCTTCTGCTCGCTCTCTTCCTTCTGCTCGCTCTCTTCCTTCTGCTCGCTCTCTTCCTTCTGCTCGCTCTCTTCCTTCTGCTCGCTCTCTTCCTTCTGCTCGCTCTCTTCCTTCTGCTCGCTCTCTTCCTTCTGCTCGCTCTCTTCCTTCTGCTCGCTCTCTTCCTTCTGCTCGCTCTCTTCCTTCTGCTCGCTCTCTTCCTTCTGCTCGCTCTCTTCCTTCTGCTCGCTCTCTTCCTTCTGCTCGCTCTCTTCCTTCTGCTCGCTCTCTTCCTTCTGCTCGCTCTCTTCCTTCTGCTCGCTCTCTTCCTTCTGCTCGCTCTCTTCCTTCTGCTCGCTCTCTTCCTTCTGCTCGCTCTCTTCCTTCTGCTCGCTCTCTTCCTTCTGCTCGCTCTCTTCTGCTCGCTTCTGCTCGCTCTCTTCCTTCTGCTCGCTCTCTTCCTTCTGCTCGCTCTCTTCCTTCTGCTCGCTCTCTTCCTTCTGCTCGCTCTCTTCCTTCTGCTCGCTCTCTTCCTTCTGCTCGCTCTCTTCCTTCTGCTCGCTCTCTTCCTTCTGCTCGCTCTCTTCCTTCTGCTCGCTCTCTTCCTTCTGCTCGCTCTCTTCCTTCTGCTCGCTCTCTTCCTTCTGCTCGCTCTCTTCCTTCTGCTCGCTCTCTTCCTTCTGCTCGCTCTCTTCCTTCTGCTCGCTCTCTTCCTTCTGCTCGCTCTCTTCCTTCTGCTCGCTCTCTTCCTTCTGCTCGCTCTCTTCCTTCTGCTCGCTCTCTTCCTTCTGCTCGCTCTCTTCCTTCTGCTCGCTCTCTTCCTTCTGCTCGCTCTCTTCCTTCTGCTCGCTCTCTTCCTTCTGCTCGCTCTCTTCCTTCTGCTCGCTCTCTTCCTTCTGCTCGCTCTCTTCCTTCTGCTCGCTCTCTTCCTTCTGCTCGCTCTCTTCCTTCTGCTCGCTCTCTTCCTTCTGCTCGCTCTCTTCCTTCTGCTCGCTCTCTTCCTTCTGCTCGCTCTCTTCCTTCTGCTCGCTCTCTTCCTTCTGCTCGCTCTCTTCCTTCTGCTCGCTCTCTTCCTTCTGCTCGCTCTCTTCCTTCTGCTCGCTCTCTTCCTTCTGCTCGCTCTCTTCCTTCTGCTCGCTCTCTTCCTTCTGCTCGCTCTCTTCCTTCTGCTCGCTCTCTTCCTTCTGCTCGCTCTCTTCCTTCTGCTCGCTCTCTTCCTTCTGCTCGCTCTCTTCCTTCTGCTCGCTCTCTTCCTTCTGCTCGCTCTCTTCCTTCTGCTCGCTCTCTTCCTTCTGCTCGCTCTCTTCCTTCTGCTCGCTCTCTTCCTTCTGCTCGCTCTCTTCCTTCTGCTCGCTCTCTTCCTTCTGCTCGCTCTCTTCCTTCTGCTCGCTCTCTTCCTTCTGCTCGCTCTCTTCCTTCTGCTCGCTCTCTTCCTTCTGCTCGCTCTCTTCCTTCTGCTCGCTCTCTTCCTTCTGCTCGCTCTCTTCCTTCTGCTCGCTCTCTTCCTTCTGCTCGCTCTCTTCCTTCTGCTCGCTCTCTTCCTTCTGCTCGCTCTCTTCCTTCTGCTCGCTCTCTTCCTTCTGCTCGCTCTCTTCCTTCTGCTCGCTCTCTTCCTTCTGCTCGCTCTCTTCCTTCTGCTCGCTCTCTTCCTTCTGCTCGCTCTCTTCCTTCTGCTCGCTCTCTTCCTTCTGCTCGCTCTCTTCCTTCTGCTCGCTCTCTTCCTTCTGCTCGCTCTCTTCCTTCTGCTCGCTCTCTTCCTTCTGCTCGCTCTCTTCCTTCTGCTCGCTCTCTTCCTTCTGCTCGCTCTCTTCCTTCTGCTCGCTCTCTTCCTTCTGCTCGCTCTCTTCCTTCTGCTCGCTCTCTTCCTTCTGCTCGCTCTCTTCCTTCTGCTCGCTCTCTTCCTTCTGCTCGCTCTCTTCCTTCTGCTCGCTCTCTTCCTTCTGCTCGCTCTCTTCCTTCTGCTCGCTCTCTTCCTTCTGCTCGCTCTCTTCCTTCTGCTCGCTCTCTTCCTTCTGCTCGCTCTCTTCCTTCTGCTCGCTCTCTTCCTTCTGCTCGCTCTCTTCCTTCTGCTCGCTCTCTTCCTTCTGCTCGCTCTCTTCCTTCTGCTCGCTCTCTTCCTTCTGCTCGCTCTCTTCCTTCTGCTCGCTCTCTTCCTTCTGCTCGCTCTCTTCCTTCTGCTCGCTCTCTTCCTTCTGCTCGCTCTCTTCCTTCTGCTCGCTCTCTTCCTTCTGCTCGCTCTCTTCCTTCTGCTCGCTCTCTTCCTTCTGCTCGCTCTCTTCCTTCTGCTCGCTCTCTTCCTTCTGCTCGCTCTCTTCCTTCTGCTCGCTCTCTTCCTTCTGCTCGCTCTCTTCCTTCTGCTCGCTCTCTTCCTTCTGCTCGCTCTCTTCCTTCTGCTCGCTCTCTTCCTTCTGCTCGCTCTCTTCCTTCTGCTCGCTCTCTTCCTTCTGCTCGCTCTCTTCCTTCTGCTCGCTCTCTTCCTTCTGCTCGCTCTCTTCCTTCTGCTCGCTCTCTTCCTTCTGCTCGCTCTCTTCCTTCTGCTCGCTCTCTTCCTTCTGCTCGCTCTCTTCCTTCTGCTCGCTCTCTTCCTTCTGCTCGCTCTCTTCCTTCTGCTCGCTCTCTTCCTTCTGCTCGCTCTCTTCCTTCTGCTCGCTCTCTTCCTTCTGCTCGCTCTCTTCCTTCTGCTCGCTCTCTTCCTTCTGCTCGCTCTCTTCCTTCTGCTCGCTCTCTTCCTTCTGCTCGCTCTCTTCCTTCTGCTCGCTCTCTTCCTTCTGCTCGCTCTCTTCCTTCTGCTCGCTCTCTTCCTTCTGCTCGCTCTCTTCCTTCTGCTCGCTCTCTTCCTTCTGCTCGCTCTCTTCCTTCTGCTCGCTCTCTTCCTTCTGCTCGCTCTCTTCCTTCTGCTCGCTCTCTTCCTTCTGCTCGCTCTCTTCCTTCTGCTCGCTCTCTTCCTTCTGCTCGCTCTCTTCCTTCTGCTCGCTCTCTTCCTTCTGCTCGCTCTCTTCCTTCTGCTCGCTCTCTTCCTTCTGCTCGCTCTCTTCCTTCTGCTCGCTCTCTTCCTTCTGCTCGCTCTCTTCCTTCTGCTCGCTCTCTTCCTTCTGCTCGCTCTCTTCCTTCTGCTCGCTCTCTTCCTTCTGCTCGCTCTCTTCCTTCTGCTCGCTCTCTTCCTTCTGCTCGCTCTCTTCCTTCTGCTCGCTCTCTTCCTTCTGCTCGCTCTCTTCCTTCTGCTCGCTCTCTTCCTTCTGCTCGCTCTCTTCCTTCTGCTCGCTCTCTTCCTTCTGCTCGCTCTCTTCCTTCTGCTCGCTCTCTTCCTTCTGCTCGCTCTCTTCCTTCTGCTCGCTCTCTTCCTTCTGCTCGCTCTCTTCCTTCTGCTCGCTCTCTTCCTTCTGCTCGCTCTCTTCCTTCTGCTCGCTCTCTTCCTTCTGCTCGCTCTCTTCCTTCTGCTCGCTCTCCTCTCTTCCTTCTGCTCGCTCTCTTCCTTCTGCTCGCTCTCTTCCTTCTGCTCGCTCTCTTCCTTCTGCTCGCTCTCTTCCTTCTGCTCGCTCTCTTCCTTCTGCTCGCTCTCTTCCTTCTGCTCGCTCTCTTCCTTCTGCTCGCTCTCTTCCTTCTGCTCGCTCTCTTCCTTCTGCTCGCTCTCTTCCTTCTGCTCGCTCTCTTCCTTCTGCTCGCTCTCTTCCTTCTGCTCGCTCTCTTCCTTCTGCTCGCTCTCTTCCTTCTGCTCGCTCTCTTCCTTCTGCTCGCTCTCTTCCTTCTGCTCGCTCTCTTCCTTCTGCTCGCTCTCTTCCTTCTGCTCGCTCTCTTCCTTCTGCTCGCTCTCTTCCTTCTGCTCGCTCTCTTCCTTCTGCTCGCTCTCTTCCTTCTGCTCGCTCTCTTCCTTCTGCTCGCTCTCTTCCTTCTGCTCGCTCTCTTCCTTCTGCTCGCTCTCTTCCTTCTGCTCGCTCTCTTCCTTCTGCTCGCTCTCTTCCTTCTGCTCGCTCTCTTCCTTCTGCTCGCTCTCTTCCTTCTGCTCGCTCTCTTCCTTCTGCTCGCTCTCTTCCTTCTGCTCGCTCTCTTCCTTCTGCTCGCTCTCTTCCTTCTGCTCGCTCTCTTCCTTCTGCTCGCTCTCTTCCTTCTGCTCGCTCTCTTCCTTCTGCTCGCTCTCTTCCTTCTGCTCGCTCTCTTCCTTCTGCTCGCTCTCTTCCTTCTGCTCGCTCTCTTCCTTCTGCTCGCTCTCTTCCTTCTGCTCGCTCTCTTCCTTCTGCTCGCTCTCTTCCTTCTGCTCGCTCTCTTCCTTCTGCTCGCTCTCTTCCTTCTGCTCGCTCTCTTCCTTCTGCTCGCTCTCTTCCTTCTGCTCGCTCTCTTCCTTCTGCTCGCTCTCTTCCTTCTGCTCGCTCTCTTCCTTCTGCTCGCTCTCTTCCTTCTGCTCCTTCTGCTCGCTCTCTTCCTTCTGCTCGCTCTCTTCCTTCTGCTCGCTCTCCCCTTCCTCCCTCAACCCCGCTCCTCCCCCATATCTGAGCCCACCCCACTTCCCCCCTCCCCTCTTATGCTCCATGTCCTACACTCTTCCCCCTCTTTCATATCTCTCCCATCTTTCATAACTCTTCCTTGCCGCTCCTACAATCCATCCCTGCATCCGCACTCCTGCATCTCTCTCCCCTCCCTCCCCTGTTCCTCCATGCCGATTTGCCCTGTCTCCCTCATACTAGCTTGAACAACGTGGCACTCCCACGCTTTATCTTCCCCTCCTAGGCTTAACCTGTGGCGACCTGGCAGAACGACCAACACGTGTCCCCTCCCTCCCACCTCTCACTTCTCCTTTCCTTCCTCCTGTTCCCCCCCTCCCTCCCTCCCCCCCCCCCCCCCTTCACCCTCCCCCCATCCTCCAGGAGGTGCTACTGAACGAGATCGCAGTCAGCCGCTTCCCCTTCGGTCCACAAGGCCAGCCAGTCGCAGCGTGTGTGGTGTTCCGGTCGCTGCTGCACTGGCGCACGTTCCAGGCGGAGAAGACCAACGCGTTTGACCGCATCATCGAGACCTTCCAGATGGTCTCGCGCTCCGATGACATGAGCACGCTCAGTTACTGGCTCAGCAACCACGTTGTACTTCTGTACCTCGTGCAGGTGGGTGCTGTGGGAGAAAGGGGGACGGGAGAAGGTGGTATGGTGGTGGGATAGAGCTCCGATGACATGAGCACCTTGAGCTATTGGCTCGTGGTGCTGCTGTACCTCGTGCAGGTGGGTGCTGGGGGGGATGGGAGGGAAGGTGGCACGCAGGGGAGGTGCTACTGTGTGGCGCAGGTAGGTGCAGGGGTGTCCCCGTCGCATTGGCTTCGCTCGGAAGCAACATGCAGTGCTCGCAAGTCGCGCCGAGCGTGTGGGACTGCTTCGGCCAGACCACACTGACTGAGGCTGACCTCAACAGCGTCGGGTTTACAGCTAGCGTGGGGTCGTATGCATTGAAATTGACGTATCTGGATTCGAACAGGCAGCTCGTGGTGGCCGCTGCGAGATCGGCCCTCGCGAAAGCAAAGCCGACTTTGAAGAGGGAGCAGGTGTTCGGCACGTTTCTTTGCTGTAGAACAGATGTTCTTTGGCCTGACAGATGACCCGTTATTACCCAGTTCACCGATTTCGATCACGTGAACATGTTTTAACAAAATGAGTGCGTGGTCGACTAACTTTTGAATTGGTCGTTGCAGGTAAGCCTGAGCTGCTGGTTGGGGTTCCTGCTGGAAGGTTCCAGGCAGGGATCAACGGCGATAAGCTCAAAGGAGGCGCCATGTTCGCTGTCTCTTCCAATGAGTATTTTTCTACAAAAACCGAAAGACGATCCTAGAAAATGAGCTTTGCGAGTGAATCAGCCCGTGTTCAATACCCGTCTCCTTCCTTCTCCCTCCTCCCTGCTTGTACCTCCTTCCTCCCTCTGCCCTTGTCCCTCCTCCCTCCTCCCTCCTCCTCCTGCCGCCTCCCTCCCCTCCATGAACAGCGAGTACAAGCTCTACGTGACCATCGTGCTGCTCTACCGGGGCACCCTGAAGCCAGCAGCAACGCTCGCCGTCGTCAACGCCACGTCAGCTCAAACCACCAAGATCCTGCTGGACTGCACGTGGACGCAGCCCAGGCCCAGCGTGCAGCTGTGCGAGTGGCTCAATGACCTCCCTGTTACTGCCACCCCCACCCCCACACCTCCTGCTGACTCTGCCCCTACCTCCGCGCCTGACTCTTCTCCCACCTCTGCTCCTGATTCTGCTCCTAACGTTACTCCTAACACTGCTCCAAACTCTGCTTCTGACTCTTCTCCTAACTCTCCTGATTCTGCTCCTGACTCCCCTTTGGATGCGGCCAAGAGCATGCGTGCGGTGGCCTTTCCAGGCTCGCTCACGGTGGTGGCCCTGCCAGTCATGAACATAGTGGTCAAGGCGGTGTACAAGATGCAGGTGGGGTCGGAAGGGGGGGATTCTGCTGAAGCCGTGCTGCACTATGCGCAGTGAAGAACACGCGTGTTTTTAGTCGACTCAACAGTCATGAACATACCGTAGTTGTGAACGCGGTTTATAAGGTGCAGGTGGAATCAGAAGAGGGGGACTCGACCAAGGCCATTCTGCACGATCCCATGTAAACACGTGTGCAGGAGGGGGGTCAGGAAAGCCGCTGCTTTCGTTAGCACTAGGGCTGCATTGTTTGTACTCACCAAGAACTGCTGCATTAGTGGCAGTAAATAAAATAGGGGGTTGCTGCTTCCTCTTCTCCGAACGATGCTTGCACTGCCACTGGGGTTTCTATCCCGGAGATTATGGTACCGTACAAGGAAAAGTGTTGATATCTCTTTCCATGGATAGTGTCAAAACTGAGATGATATCCCCACCTTATAAGGCTCCAGTTGCAGAGGTTGTATTTGGGTCCCACAATAATGCTTTCGTTCTTCTTTAAACTGAAGTGACACATGTGGAGTGGATCTTATTGGCAGTGGCAATCATGACAATCTGTACCGTATGTGCATAGATGTACGATATTTGAGGATATTGAACAAGCAGGCATGCAGACCCTCAGCTTTAGAGCACCAACATGCAGGCTCATCCCGATGAAGCTACAGTACTAGTAGCGAGGTATTTGTGAGAAGGAGTATCCCGGGGCTTGTCTCCACGAGTAGTATGCAATGCGGCTCTCGTAGAAGCCTGCAACATTGGCAAGGCAAAGGAAGGAACGAGGAATGAATGATGCTAGTTATATCGAGTGAAGGAAGGAGTCAGGCGCAGATTAGCAGACACATCAACAGAGAGTTGGGTTGTAAAGACGGCTCTGCAGTGGCTGGCAGAACGGCACACAGAATCCGTTTGTCACTGAAAGGGTGACATCCAGAGGTGATGCATGCATTCAGAGGTGATGCATGCATTCAGAGGTGATGCATGTACGTAACTGCTTCAGATAATGCTGATGCAGTGACTGAATCACAATTTGAGTCGCCTTTGGGAACTATCAAACGTGTCTCAGATGTGAATGGGACAGAGTGGGGATAATGTAGAGTGAAAGGCCAACGACATGATACGCGGAGTGGGAGAAAGGGATGGAGTGGAAGTGGAATCGGGGGTACTGCTGAGATCAAATTTCTGATGATTGCGTGCATGGACAGCGTGAGGAAGGGTCACCGGGCATGAGCGTGAGGAAGGCTCACCGGGCATGAGCGTGAGGAAGGCGATGGCGAGGCACGTCCACTTCTGCTGCGCGCCGGCCTCCACCTGCCCCGTCTGCATGAGGTAGAACGTTGCTAGCGACGCGCACCCCAGGAACAGCAGGAACAACGCGAGCAGCACCGACCGCTTCGGGACGCGTCTGTGGATATCAGGACCGGCGAAGCGGATATCCGCATCGTTGGAGCCTCGCGCTCTTCCCGCGGTCGACGGAGGAGCGGCGGATGCGTTTGCGGCGAAGTCGGGAGCAGCGTCGGAGTCTGACGTCGGGACACGCGCATACCTAACGTGGGGCTGGGAGGCCATCTGGCAGATATTAAAGCCCGCGCCTACAGTGGCAGATTTTCCAAAAATACTGGGCTTAAAAAGTTGTAAGCTAGCTTTAGCGAGAGATGTTTCCGTGGATTTTGGCTGGGCGAAGACGTAACAGGCCACGACGGGAGAACGGTGAGTAAGGAAGGTTGGAAACTGCACGTGGGGGGGAAATGCGCGTAGAGAAGGGGGGAAAATGCGCGGAGGGAGGGGGGGAACTACGGGAGGGAAGGGCGGGAACTGCGCGGAGGGAGGGGGGGAACTACGGGGAGGGAAGGGCGGAACTGCGCGGAGGGAAGGGGGGGGACTGCGCGGAGGGAAGGGGGGAACTGCGCGGAGGGAAGGGGTTGAACTGGGCGGAGGGTATAACAGTGTAGGGAAAGGGGAGAGGCGAGAGGCGGAGAGGGACGGGAGGGACCGAAGGGAAGAGAGAGAAGGAAGGGACGGGAGGGACGGAAGCAACGGGAACTATAGAAGCGACGAGAGCTTTGGGTATGACGGGAGCTATGGGCGCGACGAGAGCTTTGGGGGAGCCAGGAGTGATGGGAAGGAAAGGCGTGATGAGAGGGCTGGGAGGAAGTCGTGACAGTCGTGAATGAGGGCTGCGAGGATCGAGAGGTGGGACCTGGGGGCGCGGTACAATGTTATTGAAGAGCTGTTCAAGAATGGGTCACCTTGAACAAATCTCGGGTCACAAAACTTCAGTTCGGTTCCCTGTGGCGATCCATGCTCACGAATTCGGCGTGTGATCCCGACCCTCAGCTGGTGTGACATGTGTGACGCGTCCTAATATAAAACCTCGAATGAAACCTGTCCCTCTGCTCCAGATTTGCGATGGGATGTGGGATGAACTTAGCAAAATGGCGTCGGCTAGTTTAGCTACACGTTCACAAAAGCGCCGGATTTGCGATGGGTGTCCCGGGAAAAGCTGATTATGGTTAGGCGAACAGCATCTCTTTCTTTACCTCGTGGTTGTGGTTTCCTCGTCGGCATCATGGAGTTCGCACTTCGGTTTAGGGTTCCCGCTGCTCTGCTCAGTCATCGTCACCTTGACAACGCCACGAGCAGCACAGCGACTGACCGCACCGCTAAATCCGCGAACGAAAGAACGATCCAACAGCTAGCAGCTTCACACGTGGACTATACCATTACCGTTGATTTGCACGAACCTCTACAATCAGCATTTGACAAGCTGTTTCAGTCCCACCTGCCGCACTGCTGCGTGCCAACTCAGCAGACACGTCGGCAGCAGGATGACGCGGATAAGGGCAGCAGCAAGAGCGAAGAGAAGCAGGTTGTTCGATTTATGGCTGTTGGGCAAGTGTGTACTTATCACCTTCCGTATCCGCCGAAAAGGCCAGGCTTAAATCAGGTACGCTGATTAAAGTCCTGGCAGTGAGGACAAAATCGGCGACGGGGGGAAATGCAGGGAACGCCAGCGACAGCACCAGCAATGTTGCAACTGACGCAGCTGTCGCTCCTGGGGTGGATGCCTTACACCCAGCATCCGGAGACCTATCGTCGACTCCTGTCGTGAACTCCCAACTCGAGAGCTTACCTTCCCCTGCTCCAGTCTCTGCTCCAGTCTCTGCTCCAGCTCCCGTCCCGCTCGCTGCGCCTGCACCTGCCGCCGCACCTTCCGCTCCCCCTCCTGCCTCTGCCGTGGGCAACGACACAAGAGCAGACAACCGCACTACTGCGTCTGCCACTACCACAGGCACTAGCAGTGGTACCAATGGTACCAGTGGTAAAGGCAGCGGACCCCGCAGCAGCAGCAGCAGCAGCAGCAGCAGCAGCAGCAGCAGCAGCAGGCAGATGGTACACGTGGAGCACGTGCCGCTGGCCCGGCCGCACGTGGTGCACTATGTGGATGTGCACCTGCCGTGGTCGCACTCCCTCTGCGCCTGCTGCCTCTCCCGTATGCTCCGCCCCGCCCCGCCCATCACCTTCCGCATCTCAAGCCTGGCCTCGCTGCGCAAGCACCTGCAGCAGCCCGTGGTGCCCACCATGCCGCCCTTCCGCCTCGCCAACAAGCCCACGCCGCCCATCCTCGCCTACTCCGCCACCGTCCCGCTCTCCGCCCCTCCTCGCCGTTTTCCAGGTAATACCAGCGGCGCCTCTACTGGCGCAGCAGCGGCATCGTTGGCGCAGCAGTATCGATGGAAGGCGGACGCGGCGCCTGTGGTTGCAGCAGAGGCCATGATGCTCGAATGGCTGGCTGAGCCACGCGTCGGCCTGCTACTGGACTTCCAGTAGATACGGCGGCAGATGGCAGAGATTATGCATGTCAATGAATACGCGGCGGCACGCAGAGAAGCTAGCGCCGCGCGGAGCCTGTCTGCTGGTTGTGCTGCTGCGCCTTTTCCTCGCGCCCTGTGGTGGTGCTGCTGGCAGTGCAGCCGGTGCTGGACGCTCTACCGCATGGCCGTGTCCATTGCTGCGTTCCTCGTGCTTGTTGCCAGGTTCCCGCGCTTCGTCACTCTCTGGCGCGCGCACCTGCGCTTCCCTGAGATGGCCTTTTCCGTATTGGCGTTTCAGTTCGGAGCGGGGCAGCAGGTGCAGGGCGACTGCGTGGCGTCGCTGCTGCTGCAGGTGCTGGGAGTGAAGGGCAAACAGCAGCTGGAGACTAGCTTTGCTGCCCGCATGCTGCCGCTGCTGCCGGGGGGGAGGGGCGCGCATGGGGAGGCGGGAGGGGAAGGAGCGAGCCGGGGGGAGGGAAGAGAGGGGAAGGAGTGGAGGGAGGGGTTAGGAGGGGTTGAGTGGGAGGAGTATGTGCGGCGCGTGGGGGAGATTGCCGCCCAGGGAGGGCTGGCAGGCAAGCAGTACCGCTGCTGCTGCTCGCAGTGCTCCAAGGGCGAGAGCACAGAGGGAAGAGAAAATGAAGGGGCCTTGGAAGCCGAAGCCGGCAAGCAGCGGTGGCATGGTGATATCTGGTGCCGACCCCACCGAGTTTGCCCTCAAGTGCGCCACTCTCTTCTGCCGGCCGCAGTTTGCTGTGAGAGCTTCTCTCATCTTCTCCGACTGTGCCGGCAGCCGCGACAAGGAGAGGGTAGAGGACGCTGCTGTGGAGGAGGCACGGAACCGGCTGGCTGCGGAGAAGGGGAGTGTGGAGGGAAGTGGAGTGCAGGATAGAGGGAAGCGAGCAGTGGATTCAGACGCACCAGCATCAGCTCCTGCTGCTCCTGCTGGTGCTGGGTCTGGTGCTGCAGCCAGTGGGTCTGGTGCTGCAAGCGGCGCCGGCCTTGTCCCGGTGAACAGTAACGGGGTGGTGGCACTGTTCACGTACCGAGTCACCTGCCTGCTGTGATGGGTGCGACTCTACGGGTTCAAGGTCAACCCCGCCGACGCCTGCACCCAGCACTACATGAAAGATCCAGGCCCTTCTCTTCCCCACCTAATCCACGACCTCCCGAACCTGATGTTCAGGTTCGGCGCCGTGTCAAAGCCTGCAGGTGCGCCAGGCCTGGAAGGCTCGGCAACGACGGGCTGGA